GAGATGTGACCAAGAAGCAGAGGTCAGAGAGACAAACAGAGATAAAGATAGAGACAGAAATAAAGAGAGATTTAAAGACACTAGAGCTGCAGGATTTGAAGATGGAGAGAGGGGCCACAGGTCAAGGAATGCAGGCACCTCTAGTATCTGGCAAAGGCAAGGAAAGGATTTCTGCCCTGGAGCCTCCAAAATAACAAAACCCTGTTGACACCTTAACTTTAGCTCAGTGAGACTGATTTCAGACTTCTGACCTCCAGAACTGTTCGTGAACAAATCCGTGTTATTTTAAGCCACTAAATCTGTGGTTATTTGTTACACAGCAGTCATAGGAAATTAAGATGGATGGATAGACTGGTAGGTGAATGGTCAGCCTAATTTTTAGGACAGTACAGAGACAAGTTGAAAATTCTGTAACACCCTTTAAACTAAAACCTTTGAGTGTATTCAGGAACCAGAAAGTAGCCTCAGAGATTCCTATGATCTTCAGTTGACTGGGGTAGACCTCAGGTGGTCCCCACCATCCTTATCAACAGCTGGTGTTGTAAAACTGTTCAATAAGGTTCCAGAGTTTAGACTTTTTTTTTAACTATTTTTTTTTATCCTCACCCGAGGACATTTTTTTTGCATTTTTTTTTTCAGATAGAGCAAGAGGGAGAGAGGGAGGGAGAGAGAGAAACATTGACGTGATAGAGACACATCAAGTGGTTGCCACCCACAGGACCCCAACTGGAGCAGGAGACAAACTGAAACCGAGGTATGTGCCCTTAGCAGAAACCAAACCTGGACTCTCTAGTTCGCGGGCCGATGCTCTAACTGCTGAGCCAAACCGGCCAGGGCTAGACTTTACTTTAATTAACATTTCTTTATAGGAATCTTACTTCCTTCACACAGAGTGTGAATCTGCCCTGTTCTCAGTACTCAAGTTCTATCTATCCTTCTAAGAATAGCTCAAGGCTCATTCCTTTTCCCCAGTTGAATCCCAGCACTCACTGACAAGCACCAATGACATGCCAGGCGCTGAGGATAAACCGGAGGCCCACACACTTCCCTTTCCTTCCTAGCTCATCGTAGGACTCTCACCTCTGAGTTCCCAGTATCTCTTACCCATATGGCACTCTGCATTATACTTAAGTGGTTAACTTGTCTCTATCTGGGTTCCCCAACTAGAGCACAGGCAGGAAATGTTATCTAAAATTAACTTTGCTGTAATTTAAAAAAGCTGCAAAATACACATGAAAGTTGTAAAACATAGTATGCACAATTCAAAGAATAAAACAAAACTCCCACATAGTCACCCTACTTCACAAATAAAGCCAGTCTTAGAAGTCCCACCTGCTTCTTCCCTGATCACATCCTTTCCACCATCCTGGGGGTAACCACTCTCCTAAATTCTGACATCAATCATTCCCTTGTTTTGTTTGTTTTGTTTTGTTTTAAATAGTTGTATTATTACCCCAGCATGGATTCTGAAACAACTGTATTCAGTTCAGCCTGGTTTTGAACTTTTTTTTTTTTTGCTTTTATCTTCAGATAGAGCAGGAGGAAGAGGAGCGGGGGAGAGACATCGACGTGAGAGAGACACATTGAGTGGTTGCCACCCACACAACCCCAACCGGCTGGAGACAAACCAACCGAGGTACACGCCCTTAGTGGGAACCGAACCCGGACCTCTCTGGTCTGCGGGCCGACACTCTAACCACTGAGCAAAACTAGCCAGGGCTGGTTTTGAACTTTATACAAAGGAATCATACTGCATGTATTCTTTGGTGACTTGTTTCTTTCACTCAATATTGTTTGCAACTCATCCATGCTCCTGAAGCTGTAGGTTACACTTTCACTGCTGCACACTATCTCACGGTACAGATACACTATATTCATACCTCCATCCTATTGCTGATGGGCATTTGGGTTGTTCTGTTGGTTTTACTTTACAATTATAATCAGTGCCATGGACATTTGTATGCACATCTCCTGGGCACACGCGTAAGTTTCTCTAAGAGATAAGCCTAAGAGTCAAACTGCTAGGCCATAAGACATCATGTATTCTAGCAGACACTGCCAAAATGGCTGAACTAATTTGCACACCCATCGACAGCAAGTGTGAGTTCACAATGCCTCTTCCTCAATGCCTGGTAATGTCCAACAGTTCACCTTCTTCCCATAGGGTGTTGTGAAATGAGATCTCATTGTGGTTTTAATTTACATTTCCTAGTTACTAATAAGGTTGACTGGCATTCTTCTGTTTATGTGCTGTTTTCTCATCTATGAAATGCCTATTCCTAGCTTTTGCCTTATTTTCTATTGTGTTGTCTTTTTGTCTCAGAATTATAAGTATTCTTTCTCTAGTCTACATACCAGTTCTCTGTACGTTTTGTCTCTTGATGGTGCATTCAATAAACTGAATGTCTTAATTTTAATGTAGTCAAATTTATCACTGTTTTTTCTGTATGGTTTATGATTATATTTTATTGCAGAAATCTAGTCTTAGCCCAGGTTATAAAGATATTTTTCTATATCATATTCTAAAAGTTTTCAGAGTTTTGCTTTTCATATTTAAGTCTTTAATCCTTTATGAAGGTGTGAGGCTGGGATCAGATCCATCTTTCATATTTCCCCTCAGGACCTGGCATGGTACTATGTATACAATATTTATTTAATAAATATAAACAAATATTGCTTTGCAGTCAAAGCTCTAATTTCATTCTTGAGGAGAAAAAAATACTTAAGAAGCTTCTCAAACTTTGTGTCAGTACTTTGACAAAGTTATTATTGGGGTATCATGACTTTTTGGAATTTCCTTACCTTCCTTTGCCAATTTTTAGTAGATCACTAAACTGAATTAAAGGGAAGCTGAGTAGAAGACTTAAGTGCTCATTCAAGATGCAATTCTCCTCAGTTTCAGGTTTCCATTTGTGAAGTAATAGGAATTAAAAGAATAGCATCTATTCCCAGGTATATCCCTAAGACAACTAAAAACTTATGCTCACACAAAAACCTATATAGCCATGTTCATAGCAACACTATTCACAAAAGCTAAAAAGAAAAAACAACCCAAATGTCCATCAACAGATAAATGAATAAACAAAATATGGTCTATCCACATAGTGGATAAAATAAAATGAAGTACTGACACATGCTACAACTTGGACAAATCTTTAAATCATTATGCTGCGTGAAAAGCCAGACAGAAAAGGCCAAATATCACGATTTCATTTACATGAAATGTCCTGAACAGGCAAATCCACAAAGACAGAAAGTAGATTAGGGTTGCCAGGGGACAGTGGAGTGGAAAATAGGGAGTGACTGCTAATGGAGTGGGATTTCTTTGGGGGATGGGAATGTTCTGGAATTGAATAGTGGTGATGATTGCTCACTGAATATGCTTTTATGGAAAGTATACTTTTAAATGGCTAAAATGGTAAATTTTATGCTACATAACTTTTATGTCAATTAAAAACAATACTGTGCCCTAGACTATTATTGTAGTGATTAAAACCACAGACTGAAAAGACTTTCAGGATTCGAATCTGGACTTGCCATTTAAGAGCTGTGTGTCTTGGGAGAAGGTGAAGTTACTTTACCTCTGAGCTCTCCTCACACATCACCTATAAACATGGAGATAATAGTTCCTGCCCAAGATAATAATGAGAATAAGGTCATACACATAAAGCAGTCAGAACAGTGACTGGGACATAAGTGATCAATACACCTTAGCTATTAGCTACTATAATTCAGAGTTTATTGTTGGCTATTGGCTATTTGTGGTGGTCAGGGTTAAAACTGAGAGCAGGCTTTATGCAAAAGAGTGCTTTTTTCCCCTGTCAACTCATTTATTCTCTCATCAACCTTATAAGGCAGTATTATAATCATCCCCATTTTACAAATGAGACAACTGAGGCTTCCAGAAGTGACACACCCAGGACCCCGCAGCTAAGAAGTGAGCGGTGGGAATTCAAATCAAGGTCTATCAAAGTCCAGAACTCTGGCTGGTGCCCCCCTGAGAGACCCCCAGGTGGGCATCCTGCGGGCATCACCGAGGGCTGCAGGGTTTGTTGCTGGGCTGTCTCTGGCCGTGCTGTTCCTTTGGACAGGGGCAGCCTCACTGGTCTCCCTCACCCCTCCCCTCCAGCACCCATCAGGGTCAAGCAAGCCTGAGCAGACGACCACCGTGACCCCCGTTTCGGAACCGGCGGTGCCCTTTCTTGGAGCGCTACCTTATTCTGAATTACTTCTCATTCAGAACAAAGACAACAAATCCCACTCAAACCAAGTCCCCTGGTAATGAGAATAAAGAAGCGCGGACAAAAGGGGTGATTTTTCAGAGCCTCGTGGGGAGCACCCGGGTCAGGGTCTGGAGAGCGGGGCCCAGCTCTCGGGGTGGGTGGGGCCCTAGGTCTGCCGGACCCTGCGGGAGGGGACAGGCCCAGCAGAGAGGGACCTCTGGGGTGCGACGCCGGGATGGAGTTGGGGACACGGGCCTGGAGGGAGTGGTGCTGGGGCCGCGGGTAAGGTAAGGGAGGGACGAACGGGTCCGAGGTGCCGGCGGCGCAGAGAAGCATCGGTCCCCGGGGGCGTGGTGGGGCGCGGAGGGAGAAGTGGGCCAAGGCCCCACAGGCGCCAAGGGGTACCAGGCGGGTCTGGGACCCGGGGTCGGGCGCGGGGGGGGCGCGGTACCTGCACAGGTGGCGCAGTGTCCGAGCCGCTCCCGCCAGACCCGCGTCACCGCCGCCCCCGTCACCGCGGCCGCAGCTGCCGCGGCCCGCGCTCCCACGTGACACGCGCCGGCGCCGGGGGGCGGAGCCGTGGTGAGGCTCGCCCCCGGCGTCCCGACGTGCGGGTCCGTCCCAGTGCGCGTGTGCAGCAGTTGCCGTGGAGACCAAGGAAGCGTTGGGTGGCCAACGACGCGGGCGCTAGTGAAGGAAAGCTGGCCCTGCTGGACGCGGTTGGGGGCCGTAGCGACCCAGCGAAAGGAGATTCTCCATTGCTACGGGCTGTTCAGTGTTTCCAGAATAAACATGCACCCCGAAGTCTCGGAGCCCACGGCGGAGTGGGGAGAGAAACGGGACTGCGCGCAGGAGCCGGGTGTACCAGGCGTGGAGGAGTCTGCGGGTGACCACGGGAACGCAGGCCAAGGGGGCCGCAAGGAAGGTGCTGACCGCCGCCACAGGGAGGCGCGGGGGGCGACGGGCTGCGCCCCAAACCTGATCTTCACAGTCAGCAATAACAATAATAATAGCAATAGCGGCCCACACTTCCTAAACGATGCGTGCCAAGCGCTCACCGCAATTGAGCCACACACCCGCCCTCTGCGGTAGGCACTCCTCTCCCTACTTCATACAGATGAGGAAAGTGGGACTTAGTGGTTATAGAACTTGCTTCAAACATATTACCTTCAGCCTGTATCAATAACAGAACAGACTCTGGCCTGGACAATCTGACTCCGGAGCCCAAATCCTCACCCAACACACCATTCCCTCCCCACCCAACTTTTTTGTGTTTAGAATGTATCCCTTTATTACTATCACCACTTAACATCACAAGATGCCAGGGCAGGACGTCTCCTTTGAAGTCACAATGTCCAGTCCAGGGCCTGACTCACGATGGAGAGAGTAAAGGAAGAGCTGGCGGTTCTGGGGTTAGGAGATGACTCCTTGTCAGTTTCCCAGAATGAGCATAGAAAACAGGTTTCAGCCTCTGCTCTCACTGAGTTCAGGGGCCCTAAGAGAAGCCTATGAGCAACCAGAGAAAAGAAACTATTTGGTTTGTGATTCATTTTTTGAACCGTCAACAAATACATCTTGAGCATCAGCTGTGCAGGCAAGCCCTGTATGAGGAGCTGTTGGAAAGCCATGTTGCTCCCTGGAAAGCCTCTCACATTCAGTTCAGGTTGCAGCTCTGCAGCTGGCCAGCTTCCTGGCTTTTGGCCCAGAGCTCACCCTCTCTGTGGAGCAGTCTCCTCTTCTGCAAGCAGGGTTATTATGCATGGATAGTTATAATTAGAGTTTCTATCATACAGTGGGCCATTAATAAATCATAGCTCTTGTTATTAATCAATTATTATATATTTTGAATACCCGGTCTTTATTTCACAGACCTTTATCTGGTGTTTCTTGTGGCTGAGCATTGTCTGCAGTGGGAAATGGGGAAATGTAAGATCCAGTCTCAAACACGGAGGGTAGAGTCTCATTCAACAGACTTCGCAAACACACAGCAGAAGCCAGCAACCCTTAAGACTAAGTGTATTTGAATTGGCCAATTTTGATTGACCTTTAAAAAAATTAGGTGCATTTAAATGTGCTCATTTCCACTATTATTGTTTCTTTTTGTGTTTTTTTTCTTTTGAGAACTTTTAAAAAAGAATAGAGAACATTATACCAAACACTCATGTATCACCACTAAGAATTGAAGATGATTAACATTTTTATCATATTCATTTGGAGTCTTTTATCATATTCACTTGAAGTCTTTTTAATTCAAATTAAACATTTCAGATCATTTTTATTGAATGTATTGGGGTGACATTGGTTAATAAGATTATATAGGTTTCAAGTGTACATTTCTATGATACATGGTCTGTATACTGCATTATGTGCCCACCACCCAAAGTCCATTCATCTTCCATCGTCTTATATTTCAGATAAATTTGACATTTCCACCCCACCCTCAAATCCTAGTCCCATTCCTTTCTCCCCATCTCCAGAATTTTGTATGGATTCCTTCACTCAATCACTTCTCTCTGCTCTCGCTTGTAATGTTCTAAACAATGCATAACATTGGTTTGTGTGTTTTTCATTTATGTAAATGGTGTTTTGTGCTTATTATGAAACTTGCATTTTTTCACTCCGTGTATGCTTCTAGGAATTAACCATATTGGTGGTGTAGCTCCAGTGCATTCTTTTCCAAGGCAGAATGATAATTCATTGTTTTATTTTACTAGTTCCTATGAATGGACATTTGCACTGGTAACAGTTTTTAGCTGTTACAAATGATGCAGAAATGAATATCTTTGTACACGTCTCCTTGTGTACCTGTACCAGAGCTTTTACAGAGGACCTACCTAGAAGCAAAATGTCCATAGTCGTTTGAAAATTGTTATACATTTAAAGAATACTGGAGTTCTATACTATAAGCAGACAGTTATTAAGGAAGTTGAAATTGGGGGAACTTTTAAGTACATTTCTTGATCTCCATAGAACCAATCTCTTAATTTTACAGAAATTAATGATCCTAAGGAAACATGTGCAGGTCCTTCGGACAGTGAGCAGAAACAGAGTGGTGACAGCAGGTCAGATGCTTGCTTAGCACACCAAAGAAATGACCAGGAAGATCATGGCCCCAGGTATGTGGGCATGGTGCTGCCAATTATAGCACACATTTCCCAGGTAAGAACACCCCCTTGTACAGATAAGGAAATGAGGCTCATGGAGATGAAATAGCCCAGTGTCTGCAGTGGTGGAGTGAAGACGGCCTGCCTCTGGCACAACTCGCCACAATCTATCAAACTTTAATGCAGACCAGAGAGAGAAACAGCAATAGTTCTTGATGACACTATTAAAAGTATTTTTATTAAAACATACGTTGCAATTTTTAAATGCTGAAAGTAACAATATTAGATGAGGCCTTGAAAGCTTTACAAAAACAAAAAACAAAAAAACTTAAAATAGTTATCAGGCATATAGGATGTTGTGGATTTGGGGGAAGGAGCAAATGTGGGAAGGAATTTTTGATATGTTTCAGAGCTGACAAACTCAAATTTCTTGTTCATGTTTTCATTTAAACAGAATGACTAAAAAGTTCCTGCAAAAACTCTGCAAGCAACACAAGCTTTATATTACCCCAGCACTGAATGACACACTGTATTTACACTTTAAAGGTAAGGATCTGGTAGTGGAGATGTCTCGGTCAGGCAGAAAGACTCTCTGGTGGCATAAAACATTACTTACAGGGATCATCTGGAGTTCTCAAATTATATTTAAATGGAAATTTCATAGTTTGGTGAAGATTTATGGAAAAGCAATAATATTTCTTTGAAGAAAATGTCTTACCTTAGAGTTTATCAAGGGGTCAGTGGTTCTATGGACACAAGGGAAACACATTGTTATCTTTTATTTAAGTTTTCCAAAGACTTAATAATTTTGCAAGCCAGAAGCTACAGTTGTCCCTCGTTTATCTTTCTTGCGGTTAATCCGTTTCAGACTCTAGCGGTTGCACCTGGCATTGAAAGATTCCTGGGGTGCTCAAATACATAGGCCTATAGTTCATATGTACAGTAATTTTCATTTTAAGTGTAATACAGGGGTGTATAATTGACTCAGACAGTCGAGCACACGCTGTATCATTTTCACTGTCTCGATCAACATTTTAATGAATATATTTGAAAAAACCACGATAGAGTGAAGCGGTGTAAGTTGAAGTGTGAAGTGGTGAGGGTCGACTGTAGTTGTAAATGCTTTGGGCTTGGGGTGTTATGTTGTGAAGGATGGAAGACTGGCATAGAAAACAAAGGATGAGGATTGTGGGGTGCCTCTCAGAATAGAGAGGTATAAATAGTGGCATCCCCAAGGGCTCAGGGTTGGTGGCCAGTATCTTATATGAACGTAAGTTTGAGTTCAGAGATGAGGATATTCCTTGCAATGATAAAGAATGATAACTCCCAGTCAGGGCTGGAGTGGGGATGGATCACCTGCCTCCTCAGGCCTCTATGTTATTTAGTAAATGTTTACCAGGGGCCTTCTCTGGGCCTGGCACTGCTCAGTGCTAGAGACACCGAGATGGATAGGCAAAGGTGTCGTTTGTGTCCTGGGGGTGGTGCAGCCACTGTGAGGAGTGCCAGGCCAGGGAGGTTCGCGAAGGATTCCAGCAGCACAAATGTCCCAACAGTTTGGAACAACTCCTAGCTAGTTTCCTCGCCTCCACTTGGTGCCCTCCAAAATTCTCCACCCAGTGTCCAGGTGTAGCAGTGATAAGATGACTTAGGAGGGCAGATCCCAGGGGACAATATTTAAGAGGTAGGAAGAAGAAGAGGACCCAGGAGGTCAGACCAAGTAGGAGTCAGAGAGGTAGAAGAGCTGGGAGAGAGAGGTGCCCATGTTACCTGCTACTACGTAACAAATTACCCACCAATTTAGCAACTACATTCATCATCTCACACTGTTTCTGAGGGCCAGGAATCTGGGATGACTTAGCTGAGCGGTTCTGGCTCAGTCTCTCTCAAGGTTGCAGTCAGATTGTATTGCTAACTTTCAATTTGGTTCATGAAACTGAAAAATGGATTAAAACAAGACCCACAGTCCAGCCGGTGTGGCTCAGTGGTTGAGCATCGACCCATGCACCAAGAGGTCGCCAGTTTGATTCCTGGTCAGGGCACATGTCCAGGTTGTGGGCCGGATCCCCAGTGGGGGACATGCAGGAGGCGGCCAGTTGATGTTCTCTCTCATCGATGTTTCTATCTCTCTCTCTTCCTCTTTAAAATCAATAAATGAAAAAAAAATTTTTGTTTTTTTTTTTTTAAAAAAAAGACCCACAGTTTGCACTAGCTTCAGGCTTAGCTACATCCTGGGGCTCGTAACGTATCTTCATGAGGTTCTCTCTCGCCTCTTCTTGGCCTGCTTTCCTCTGATTTGTTTCAGACAAGTCACCCCTCACCTGTACCCACTCCCAGGCAGGGAGGGAAGGTGGCTGCTGCAGTGCTGGGCTCCCCCTCGCCAAGCAGGCCACTGCAGCATAGAGACTGCCTGTTTCCAGTGGAGCCAGCCACGCTCCCCAGGATCCAACCACGTTGGCCCCGCTTGTCTGCGCATGACCAGCCCAGAGTGAATCCTCATGACTCAGGGAGCCCTGGGATAGTATCCAAAGGGGGTGTTCCTCAAAGCAGAGAAGCAATACCATCACTAGAGGAAGAGGGTGTGGATGCCAGGCAGGGAGGCACAAACAAGGGGGACTCCTGGGTCTCTCATGTGCGTGGAGGAGCTTCATCGACACCCCCTTCTCGCTAGGTTTCGATCGCATCGAGAACTTGGAAGAATACACGGGGCTGCGTTGCCTCTGGCTGGAGTCCAACGGAATACAGAGAATCGAGAACCTGGAGGCCCAAACCGAACTGCGTTGCCTCTTCTTGCAAGTGAACTTGCTTCATAAAATTGAGAACCTGGAACCTCTGCAGAAGCTGGATGCTCTTAACCTCAGCAACAATTACATCAAGACCATTGAAAACCTCTGTGAGAATGTCCCGCAAGGGGTCTATCTAAATGCCATATGTCCACCGCTTTTCCCTGGGGGAGGTTGTAAAATTGTATATGATGGGGGAAAAAAAACACCTTTTTATACCTTTGTTGTTGACTTCTGCTGACCTCATCTTCCAGCCTGCCTGCCAGTCCTGAACACACTCCAGATAGCCCACAATCACCTAGAGACGGTGGAAGACATTCAGCATCTAAAGGAGTGTTTGAAACTCTGCATCCTTGATCTTTCGCACAATAGGCTGAGTGACCCAGAGATCCTGAGCATTCTGGAGAGTATGCCTGATTTGGTAAAACACACAAAACTTGCATATATTAATGTTCTTTAGATAGTAAATCTCTCCCCCTCTTCTTCCTTCCCTTTCTTCCTTCCTTTCTTTCCTCCCTCCCTCCTTTCCCACTCTTTTCCTCTTTGTATTTTTTTTTTTTATTCCTCATCTGAGGATATTTTCCCACTTATTATCAGACGGAGTGAGAGGAAGGGAGAGAGAGAGAGAGAAACATCGATGTGATAGAGCCACACTGACTGGTTGCCTCCCGCACAACCCAACCAGGGCCGGGGAACCGAAACGGAGGTACATGCCCTTGACTGGAATCAAACCCATGACTCATTGGTCCGTGGGCCAATGCTCTAACCACTGAGCAAGACCAGCCAGGGCCCCTCTTTGTATTTTTAGCTGGCATATCTTAAACGCCAGATGCTATATCATTTCACCCACAAATATTCTAGTGTGTATCTGACAGATAAGGACCCCCCCCTTTTTTCTAGCACAGAGTACTATTATTATATCTAAAATATTGTAATAACTACATTTAATATGCACACCATGTTCAATTTTTCTCATTTATCTCAAAAATGCATTTTGGCCACTGGGTTGTTCAAATCTAAACCAGATCCATGTGTCACATTTGGATTATTTGTCTCTCAAATCTGCTGATCTCTTACTGTTCCTCTTCCCTTCCACCCCACCCCCATTACTCTGTCAAAGAAACTGGGTCCTTCCCCTGGCAGTGTCTGGACGTGGGTGATTGCATCCTCATGGTGTCGTTTAATGCGTACTGCTGTACGCAGTATTTCTTGCAGAGTGATAATGGAGCCAGAGGCTTCATCAGATCCGGGCTAGATATTTAACTTTGAGGTGTGCTGTTGCATCCCACCATGGGGCATGTGATGCCTGATGGCCTCTCTTTTTGTAACTTTAATATTGATTGGTGGGTTCAGGTGTTGTCAGTCTGACCCAGCTATGATAATGTCCCCACCGGTCTTTCTCCCAGTTGTTTTAGCAGCCACGATGGGCGTGGCCTAGATGCACTATTTCATCAGGTGTCGAGTGAGGGTCGTTTTCTACTTCTCTCGTTCCTTCTGCGTTCATTAGCTGGAATGCTTCTACAAAGAAGAACTCTCCCTCATCAACGTGTGGTTGCTTAATATACAGTTCAAGCAGGAAAATGTCTTTTTTTTTTAATTTATAATTTGCAGAGAAAGAGTCAAGAACCTAGCAACAGTTGATGGCGACAGCATCATTATGAACTCGTAGATTTATATATACAGTATCTGATATGATTTATCCCTTGCTGTCAGTTTCATTTGGGATGCTCAAATGGTCCCATCTTCTGGCGGTGACAACGCCTCCAGGTGGCACCTGTGTCCTTTTGACTCAACGTCAGCGACCTTTGATGCCTTCCTTGTTTTTTAGGATGTATGTGTTGCCACTTGTACTAGGAAAAAATATTTAAAATAGCACAGAAAGCCCTCGAGTTCACTATTTACTGCATAGGGCATGGATAAGTAAGGAAAAGGTGAGTCAATGAAAAGAAAAAGAACTCAGGAATAATCTGCAGAGGATACTACTAAGAAGGGCTAGTTTAGAATTGCTAGCACATGGTGATAATATAAAGCTGTTTCATGTCATAACACTTTTTTTTCTTGCTTAGCTGCCATAACAGATTACCATGGGTTTGGAGGCTTAGACAACAGAAATTTATTTTCGCATAATTGTAGAGGTTAGAAGTCCAAGGTCAAAGTGTCAGCTGAGTTAGTTTCCCTCTGAGGCCTCTCTTTTTGGCCATCTTCTCCCTGTGTTTTCACATGGTCTTTCTTCTGTGCATGTCTGTGTCCCAATCTCTTCTTTTATTTTTCATCCTCACCCAAGGACGTTTTTGTTTTTGTTTTTTGTTTTTTTTTGCATTTATCTTCAGATAGAGCAGGAGGAAGAGAGGGGGGAAGAGAGAGAAAGAGAAACATCGATGTGAGAGAGACACCGACTGGTTGCCACCCACAAGACCCCAACTGGGGCCGGGGACAAACTGCAACCGAGGTACATGCCCTTAGCAGGAACCGAACCCAGGACTCTTGGTCTGCGGGCCGACGCTTTAACCACTGAGCCAAACTAGCCAGGGCCCAATCTCTTCTTTTATAAGGACACCAGTCATATTGGATTAGGGCACACCACTGTGACCTCATTTCTTCTTAATTTGACCTCTTGAAAGGCCCTGTCCCCAAATACAGTCACATTCTAAGGTGCTGGGGGTTAGGACTTCAGTAGATGATGCCCATAGCAAAAGCAGCCTGCCTATTGGTTTGCTGATGGCTGATTTAACATTCTGCACACCCCCTGCACCCCTTTGGTGCCTGCAGCTGGAGCACACTGCTCCCACCCCCCCGCCCTCGCAGGGTAGGTCACTTGAGAGTGTGACAAGAACAGTGGAGGCAGTATGAGAATGCAGTCAGGGAGAGGCTGAACTAGCTCAAAATGTACTTATTTTCTCCAACCACAAGAACCACTTCAGATATGAAAAATATTTCATCAATTTCAGCGACTGTAAATGGTTCACCCACGTGTTTCCTTACCTGTTTGCCTTCTTTGAGTTTCATAGGCAGAAGAGGAGGTGACAGTATTTAAAGAGGGGGGATGGCAAGCTGTCATGGCTTATTTCTTTCTCTTTTATGTCCCAGCATGACATCTGGGAGACCTATAGGCCTGTCAAGAAAGGTCCTCGAAGTAAATAGTGGGCACTTTGCATCCTTTCCCCTTGGTCACGTCTCCTAATCTGCCTAACTGCTGTGTACTTTTCTTAAAATGGGTCCTGGCTGGGAAGGAGAAAAAAACAATCAATTAGACTGAGATCAATTTCAATCGAAAAAAGATTGCGTGAGCAAAGCTAATGTAATCACTGCTCTTGGAAAAGGGCTCCGGAAATGGTTTACAATATTGTTCTGGAAGGACAATGAGATTGAGGATCTGAAGTGCAAGAAGAGAAAGGCTGTCCTGTTACCAGGACAGTTCTAATGCCACCCTCTGACCTCACCACTGACGTCATCAGGACAGGATGTTGGCACTTCCTTTTTGTTTGTTCATCCTTAGAGCACAGCACACCTAACGTAGTTAAATCACATTTATCTTTTTTTAGGAATTAATTTGGTTCTGACTGTTTGCTTACAGCGTGTCTTGAATTTGATGGGGAACCCAGTTATTAGGCACATCCCTAACTATCGAAGGACAGTCACTATTCGACTGAAACACTTAACATACCTGGATGATAGACCAGTTTTTCCAAAGGACAGGTAAGGAAGAGAAAAGCCTTTTGATCACATTTTAATGTGTAATAGTTGAGTATTTAAAAAAAACTCTGATATTTTAGTATTTTCACCCATCATGAAATTCCTTGGAAATAGGTTTAATGGCCACATAGTTATTCATAATAGAAAAATTCTCTGTTTTTAAGCATTTATTCATAGGTTTTTAAAAAAAATAATCCTTTGATAAATGTCATCATATATAAGTTTCTGGCCTCGTTGATTATTTCCTTAGGATGGAATTCAGGGAGTTATATTATTGGAACCAAGAATGTGGTCTGAGCCTTTTTAAAGGTGCTTATATTTTCTGATTTTTTTCCAGAAAGTTTGTAACAATCTATAGCTTCACCAGACATGTCAATGTAACAGAAATCTTTGCCAGGTGAATTGATGAGTGAAGATGGTGACTCCTTTTAAACTAGTATTTTTGGATAACTGACGAGTGTGGTTACATTGACCGTCTTTGTCAGACATTCACGTTTCCTCCTCTATGAGTATTCCATCCATGACTTCCAATTTTCTTCTGGGAGGGCTTGTTCTTAGTGATTTAAAAGACCTCTTTTTTTTTTTTCTTTTCTTTTTTTTTTGTACAGATAGAGTGGGAGGGAGAGAGAGGAAGGGAGAGAGAGAGAGAAACATCGACGTGAAAGGGACACATCGAGTGGCTGCCACCCGCATGACCGACCAGGGCCGGGGACAAACTGCAACCGAAGTACGTGCCCTTAGCGGGAACCGAACCCGGGTCTCTCCGGACCGCAGGCCGACGCTCTAACCGCTGAGCCAAACTGGCCAGGGCATAAGACCTCTTTTTATATTAAGAATAATAAACCCAGGACTGCCATGTGTATTGTCACTACTTTTATCTGTGTTTTTAATTGAGGTTACTATTCATTCTAACTTAGAATAAAACCTCAGTCATATGGACAGCTTGAAGGGAAATGTAATCTGAATTTTGAATGATACAACATTTTAAAAGAAATATAACTGGTAATATGTTTTTGAACTCACATATTTAAGTCAAACTAACCAATATTTCAAGTAGAAGCGAGATGCCAATTAGATGCCAAAACAAGAAGACCTGCTTCTGGGAATTTGGGCAGCGATGCGCCCAGGTCCCTGGGCCCCCACCCTGGGGGTGATAGGGGACAGCAAGTGGACCCCACGTGCTGACTTAAAAGCCCGGCTCTGCAGCCAGGAGTTATGTCCCCTTAGGTGGGCTCGCTAACCTCCCGAGCCTCAGGTTCCTCATCTGGAGAGAGGGGACAACACCAACCTCAGGGTCCTTGTGAGTACCTGTGAGTCACACATGGGACTTGAGCAGGTCCTGGGTGCATAGGAGTGGACCAATGGGCTCTCCTGTTGCTGAGGATTCTGAGCCCCACCCTGAAGTAGCACTGCCCAAGGGCAAGTGTAAACAAGGATGTGAGACCCATCACCCTGTACAGTGTAGCCTGACTCCAGTTCAGGAGTCAGATTCACCTGGGTTTGAATCCTAATGCCACCACTCACTAGCATGTTGGGCACCTTCTCTTCTCTCTGCCTGGGATGCACATCACAGGTGTTGGCAGGTGCTGCTCACCAGTCAATAAGAGCTCCATGACCCACCACGCTATCTAAGTAGCATCTTTTCTCTCTGGTGTCTCTTCAGCCTGATTTATTTTCTTCGGACACAATAGCCTCTGACAAGCTGGTTCCCTTGTCCAGGGTCTGTCTTTCCCCATAAAAGGCAGCTCTAACAGTGAGCAGTGTCATCTCCTATGTTACCTGCCCTAACTTCAGCCTCTCAAACAGTTCAACCATTTAAAGTGTACAATTCAGTGGTGTTTTAGTATATTCACACAGTTGTGCAACCACCACCACAATCAAGTCTAGAATATTTTCATTCCCTAAGAAGGAACCTTTATTCATTAGCAGTCGCTCCCCATTCCCCCTCTCCCAGCTCTTGGCAATCACAAATCTACTTCCTGTGTCTATAGATTTGCCTATTCTAGACAATTCCTATAAGTGCAATCATACAGTATATAGTCTTTTTTACCTTAGTATAACGTTTTCAAGGTTCACCCACATTGTAGTAGGTGTCATTCATTCATTCCAAAATAATGTTGCAAAATAATATTCTATCTGGATAGGCCACATTTTATTTATCCATCCCTTGATGGACATTTGGGTCATTTCCACTTGTTGGCTCTGTGACTAGTGCTGCGCTGAATGTTTGTGTGCAGGTTTTGTGTGGACATTTGCTTTCAGGTCATTGGGGTCAATACTTAGGAGGATGATTGCTGAATTATATGGTAAACTCTCTCTAGCTCTGTAGCTTCCAGACCGTCTTCCACAGTGGCTGCACCATGTCGTACCCTCACCCACAGTGCGTGAGAGTCCCTGTTGCTCCACGTCCTCACCAGCATTTGGTGCTGACAGTGTTTGGGATTTGAGCTCTTCTAATACGTGCATTGTGGTAGCTCATTTTAATTTGCACTTCTCTAATGTCATATGATATTGAACATCTTTTCATATGCCTATGTGGCATCTATAGATCTTTTTTTTTTCCTGAGGTGTCCAGATGTTTTGCCCCTCCCCCCTCCCCCCTTTTAAGTTTTGAAGTTTAATAGTTCTTCGTGTGTTTTGGATGCAAGCCATTATTCAGTTATCTTTCTTGCAAATATTTTCTCCCAGTCTGTGGCTTATCTTCCCGTTCTTTTAACCTTTGCCCATTTTTATTATTTATTTTTAATCCTCGCCTGAAAATATGCTTTTTTATTGATTTTAGAGAGAAGAAGGGGGAGGGGGAAGGAGAGGAGAGGAGAGCAAAACATCAATGTGAAAAACGTCAATCAGTTGCCTCCCATATGCACCCCAACTAGGACTCAAACCCACAACCTTTAGGTGTATGGGACGAAGTTCCATCCAACTGAGCCACACCAGCCAGGGCAGCCTTTGACCATTTTTAAATTGTGTTGTATTTGTTTAATAAGTTATAAATTTCATTATATATTCTAGGTACAAGTCCCTTATCAGGTATATGATTGGCAAATATCATATCCTGCGGATCATCTTTTTACTTTATTTGTGATACTCTTTGCATTACAAACATTTTCATGTTGATGGAGACCAATAACTCTATTTTTCCTTTTGTCACGTACGCTTTCGGTATCATACCTAGAAGGCTTGCAAGCCATTCGACTTTAAAGATTCAGACAGACAGCCGTTAACCTCCGTCCTTGCCATCACGTGTCCCATGTGGCTTTGGTTCGACTTTGGGGGAAACGGACAAGTTTGGTCGGACAGTGTATGTTTTGAATTTACCTTCCACCTGTGAAAATTCAAACCTCCCTGGTTTCTGTCTCTTTAAAACCCCTGTAAACAGAGCTTGTGCAGAGGCCTGGGCGAGGGGAGGGCACGCGGCCGAGAAGGAGGAGAGAGAGCAGTGGGAAAACAGGGAGCGGAAGAAGATCACCGACAGCATCGAAGCCTTGGCCCTGATCCAGCGGCGGGCTGCGGAGAGAAAGCGGCAGGCAGAAAGCCGAGAGAAAGGTACCCTGCAGCCTGGCACCGTGTAGTTAGGGATCCACGCTGTCCAGCCCCCAGCCGTTCACCTCTGGGATTTGCCAGGGGCGGGGGTTTGGACCTGTTACTCACATACCTGCTGATCCATCTACACTTGGCCCCTCCCTCCTGCCAGGGGCAGTGAAAAGCCCCAACACGTAGGAGCAGTTTCAAACCACTTTTAGTGATTAAGACACAATTTGTTAAAATAGCCTCGGTTTTCCAAATGAAATGATGTATTCGCTTTCTATGACTGCCATCGCTAATTACGACACATGTAGGGGCTTACCCAACACCAGTTTATTCTCTTACCCCAGTTCTGGAGGTTGGAAGTCTGACACGGGTGTCACCGGGCTAGAATCAAGGTGTCTGCAGGGCAGGACCCCGTCTGGAGGCTCCAGGGGAAGATGTGTCCTCATCATGTCCAGCTCCTGCGGCCCCAGCATCCCTGGCTCATGGGGTGCAGGCAGCTGCAGAAGCTGGACGTCTTCACAGCCAGTAACAGAGCATCTCCTTGTCTCTCTAGCTCTGACATTCCTACCTCCCTCTTTTAAGGATCCTTGTGATGACACTGGACCCACACGGGTAAATCTAGAACACTCTCCCATCTCTCTTTTATTTTTTAACCTCACCCGAGGACATCTTTCGATAATTTGTTCAGATAGAGCGGGAGGGAGAAAGAGGAAGAGAGAGAGAGAGAAACATCGACGTGAAAGGGACACATCAAGTGGTTGCCACCCACACGACCCAATCAGGGCCAGGGACAAACTGCAACCAAGGTACGTGCCCTTAGCGGGAACCGAACCCAGGTCTCTCTGGACCGCAGGCCGACGCTCTAACCGCTGAGCCAAACCAGCCAGGGCCCTTCCCATCTCTTAATCACACCTGCAAAGCCACATAGTCACAGATTCGAGGATTAGGCCGCGAACCTCTTTGTGAGGCCATTTTTTTCCTGTCTACCACAGATGAACCCTATGGCTCATATCAAAGCAATACGGTATTGCACTAATTTCATAGGTTCCATACCTAGTGTCATCACTAGCAGTGAAAGCAGCCAGCATGTATACAGGGGGCTCAGTCAGTGCCCTTTATGCCTTGTTTGAACCAGCGGGTTATGGTAATTTTAATTTTTTAAATTGTTATTGGGTTTTTCACTACTATTATTGCCCCTTTGCATCTGACATTTTCCTGCACTCAGAAAGGTCTCTGTGCCCACTTGGTAGGGGGGCATTTATAAAGAAATAGGCTTCCGCGCACCAGCAGGCACACACACACGTGGAATGAGCTCGCAGACATTGTCGCAGGTCCCGATAGAGGGAGAGGATGTGGTTCTCCCTCCTCCCAGGAGCCCACAGTTTCCCTGGGGAGGCCCCGAGGAGTACCAGACACCAGGATTTGGAATTAAATTGTAAATTGAGGAATCATGTCAGGTTAGCTGGGTCGGCTGAAGATCCTATCAGGAAGGGCCTTGAAAAACCCACCTTGACACAGCAGGTGACAGGAAGTCATGGGCTATGACTACGACGGCTATTGTGGACGCCATATTATTGGCATGAGCTTGGTGGCGGGGGTTGTAGGATAAACGCGGGAGGCAAGGTGGCCCTGCCCTTGGGGGCCAGGCAGGGAGCTGCAGCCTCAGTGTGGGGCAGGACCTTCTGTGCAAACACGATGGAAAAGCATGGAGGCCTTTGGCCTTTTTTAAAATGGAGATGAAATTCACATAACATAAAATTAACTATTAAAAAAAATTTTATCGATTGAGTTGAGCAGGGGAAGAGACATCAATTTATTGTTCTACTTACTTATTTATTTATGCATTCATTGCTTCTTATATGTGCCCTGACCAGAGATCAAACCCACAACCTTGGCATATCAGGACGACATTCTAACCAACTGAGCAACCCAATCGAGGACAAAATTAACCGTTTAAAAATGGCATTTTGTCCATTCACACTTGCACAACCAGCACCTCTATCTTGTTCCAAAGCATTTCCTTAACCCCAGATTGAAACCCTGAACCCATGAGCAGTGAATCCCCACTTGCTCCTTCCCCAGCCCCTGACAACCACCAAGCTTTCCAGCCACTTCATACACATGAAACCCTTGCTTCTGACTTCTTTCACTTAGCGTGATGCTTCTGAGGCTCCTGCACATTGTAGCATGATCAGCGCTTCGTTCTTTTCATGACTTGACCTTGACAATTCAATCCTGTCAACTTTGAAGTGTGGCTGCACTGCCTCCCCTGAGCCATGGATCCTTTGCCCTCTGTTTAGCCGGATGATTGTGTGAAAATTGCTAGACCCCTGAGAGATTCAGGAGCACTCTATTCCTGGCTTGGCAGGGCCCGGGAAGGCCTGGGAAATGTTCCTGGCCCCCTCCTAGGGGATCTTCTAGGATCTTGGAGCCTCTCTCCCTGGCTTGCCCCCTCCCCCTCCCCCCATCTCAAGACTCAATCCACTCCCAGGTTTGGTATAAATGAACCCTCCTTGCCACACCAAATCTACTGCCCCTTGTCCAGGACTCAGGGCCCCTTGCTCACACCCGATGCCCCTGGCCAGCATTTGGTAGAGGCTTTTAGTGAGTGAGTGAGTCCTGGGTCTGTCCTGGTCCAACCTGACACAAGCCAGCAGGATCCTGGGGGTGGTGCTCAGAGCATCTTAATAAGAAGCCCCTTCCTTGTCCTATACCCAGTAGAAAAGCATGAGTCTCCGTGTATGTTTCTAAATGACAGTGGTTTTTCACCTAATTACAAAATGTGAATACACTACATGCAGAAAAGTACGAGGAACAATATAATCGCGGCAAGCCCACTCAATATTTAGTGTGGGTAGTGCCTAGCTTTTCCCCAGGCGTGTCACACACATGTATTTTATAAGAAAATGGCATCATTATATTGCTTTCTGCCTACTCTTTTGAATTAGCATAATATATTTCACATAAAATCAGCATACATACATTTTTTCTTTTCTCAACTTTTTATTTGAATATTTTTTTAATTTTCAGAAAAGCTTTAAGAATAGTGAAGTGATCAGCTATATTGTATCTTTAGGTCAGATGATTTTTAACATTTTCTCACACACACACACACACACACACACACACACACACATTTCTTGTTCTGCTGAACCATTTGAAAGTAAAGGTGGACATCATGGCCCTTAAACCCATGTACTTCCACATGCATCTCCTAAGAACCCCATGCGCTGTTTTCTTAATGGCTGTGTCCTGTCCCATCGGCTGGATGAGCTAAGGGATCCCTCTCGTGGACATTGAGCTGTTTATTCAGCCATCATAAAAAACAGCCCTGCGGGCAATTCTCTACTGGTCCCTGATGGTTCCCTGGGCTCACCCCCCAGGGTGCAGACACCCTGTCTGCCCAGGACGTTTCCCAGTTCACTTTTGGACTTCCTTTGTCCAGGGGAAGTGTCGGCGCCGGACGAGAATGAGAATGTGGATGTCGCCGAGGAAGGGAAGGGAGAGCCCCCTGGGGATGGAGAGAGGCAGAAGAAGATGGAAATGTTTGTCAAGGAAAGCTTCGAGGCCAAGGACGAGCTCTTCCCAGGAAAGGCGGGTGTCTCAGAGGCGCTGCCTGCACACGTCAACGCAGAGACTGAAGACAAGGGTCCAGGAGGGGTGTTCCCAGCGGAGGCCCCCAAGCCAGAAGCCCTGGGAGCTGCCTGGGAAGGTAATGTGATCAGAAAAACACAGACGCTGGCTCAGGGCAGCGACCCGGAATCGCAGCCTCCGAATCACGCGTCCGTGGGGCCAGGGGCAGGTCTTCCTCTTCTGGCTGCTGTTTCCGTACGACGATGTACACACAACTGTCTTGCTGTCTAGAGCAGGGCTGCTCACAGAAATACAACAGGAGCCATGACTACATTTTCTAGTGGTCACATTACTCAGAGTAAAAAGAAATGGGTGAAACACTAACATATAGTTTACTTAAGCCAATATATCTAAAATATAATAACTTAAATTAATATAAAATTATTAATGAGATACTTTACTTTTGGGGAGTACTAGGTCTTAACATCCAGTATGTTTTTTACATTAAACAGCACAACATAGTTCTGATGCTAACTTTTCAACAGTTAAAGTGAAATGAAGTCCTCCTAAAAGAAGCGAGTTGTTTCATATAAACTACTTCAGCTTTAAATTTTATTAAAAATAAAAACAGTCTGGCCGGTGTGGCTCAGTGGTTGAGCATCAACCCATGCACCAAGAGGTCACTGGTTTGATTCCTGGTCGGGTCACATGCCCAGGTTGTGGGCCCGATCCCCAGTGAAGGGCATGCAGGAGGCAGCCAATCGATGTTCTCTCTCATCAATGTTTTTATCTCTCCCTCTCCCTTCCTCTCTCTCTAAAATCAATAAAGAAAAAAAAATTTTTAATAAATAAATAAAAGCAATCACCCTGGCCAGGTAACTCAGTTAGTTGGAGCATTGCCCCACACACCAGAAGGTGGCGGATTTGATTACTGGTCAGGGCACATACCCAGGTTGCAGGTTCGATCCCTGGTCAGGGCGTGTATGGGAAGCAACTGATGGATATTTCTTTCTCACATCAATGTTTCTCTCTCTCTCTCCCTTTCTCTCTCTCTAAAACCAATAAACATTTCCTCAGGTGAGAATAAAAGATAGGTAAATAAATAAAAATGAAAACAAATAAAAAGTTCCGTTCCCCAGGAGTACTGGCCACGTTCCAAGTGCTCAGTAGCCATCATGGCCCTGGCTCCCACAGTGGATGGTGCAGATGTAGGAAAGGGTCCTGCGACTAACAGAGGAACCCAAGACTCGTCTGGACACCGTCCTTTTGCTGTGTCGGTGAGAGCGAGCCAGATCTGGAACTCGTCCAGTCCACAGGGCCTTCAGAGGCAGGGGACATGCTGTTCCCAGCCCGGGCAGTGTTTGAGGTCTATTTGGGGACTTTAGCTGGTCTGGCCCAGAATAGATGTTCCCCTAGAACAAAGACACCCACTGTCTGGGAGAGACCTACAAGAACTGCTGATTTAGGTGTTGTCATATGTCTATTCCCGCATCATCATTCCCCGTGCTGTGATTTTTCACGCTGAAACGGCACCTAGCCTAGCAGCAGAGTTTTCTGAGTGAAACCAGCCTTCGCCTCACTGGACAAAAGGCACATTGCAAAAGGAGCAGGTTAACTGCAGCATCTGTAATTAACAGATGCTGTTCATGGAAACAAAAGCCAGTTCTCTCTGTAGCCCAGGTGTGTGGGCACTCAGTGACGGCCACAGCTCTACAGGCCACCTGGTTTAGCCTTCTCAACACCCCTGCGCGCCGGGAGCTATTATCATTGCTGCATCTCGGGAGTTGGAAACTGAGGCTCAGAGAGGTGAAGGAACTTGCTCCAAGTCACAAAGCAAGTAAATGATGGAGCCATGTGGTGGGCCCAGGGTCATCCACAGCAGCAATGACAGAAGGCCTCTGCCTGCTTCCTTGTTTCATCCTAAGATGATGCCCCAGAGTGGCTCTTTGAATCAAGCTGGACATGGCCAGTACTCAGGGTGGACACACTGGACCTGTTTGTAATGAGAAAAGTTGGGCCATTAATCTTTAATGTAATAACTGAAGCCATGAGACTGACAAGAAAGCAGAGACAGGACCCAAGAATACAGCCTTGGGACTCTTGAAAAGTGGGAGTCCAGAGGAGGAAGAGGAAGCTCACCTGCATTGCACATTTATTCCCCAGGCAATCCTGAGATCATTTCACAGGTCCCCCTAACACTTGTGCAGGGGGAGGCGGTGTGCACTGAGGGACAGGCAGTCCAAGAGGGTGGTGGGTTCAGCCCTTCGAGACAGAGCTATAAAACTTGACTCTCCAGCTTGCCTCCGGGTCCCCAGTTGGCCTTTGATGCTTCTGCCTTTCTCAGTCTTCTTGCCCATCAACCACGCCTTTTCCAAAGTTCCTTCTCTTCTGCAGATTCCTGGCTGGCACTTCCATTTCACCCGACTCACCTCCAGGCTCCAGCAGGGGGCAGCTCTCTTCTTTTCCCTTCCCTTCCCTTTCTTTGTAGACATAACCCTATCCTCATCTGGGGATTCTCACACCTTCTGTCACAGGAGCTGGCCTTCCAGACCAAGGTTTTGTCCTTCCTCTGCTCTTGGAATCCACCTGGACCTGGGCCTTGTCGATCTGACCACTGCATATAAAACTAACTCCAACTGCATAATAACCTCTGCTGTTGTTCCCCAGAATCAGCTCCCCAGATGGTGGCCACGGAGAGTGAATCAGGTACAGAACTTCACGGAGATGAAGATTTGGAAACGATTATGCTGAAGATGGAGGAGAAGTTCTACATTGATGTACGTCAACAGTTACATGTTTTACAGCTGGTAAAGCAGGTGATCAGACACGACCCTTCAAAACCCTCATCAAGTGCGGTCCTTGGACCAGCAGGCGTAGTATCCCCTGGGAGCTGGTTGGAATACAGAATCCCAGGCCCCACCCCCTGATCTGAATCTGCATTTTAATAAGATCAAGGCAATTCTGGGTTGGGAGAGGGTTCATACATGTACACTTTCAAGACAGAAGCACTGGCCCAAATGATTTCCCTTGAACTATGTCTACACAATTCTCGATCTGTTTTCCCCAAAGAAGTTACATCTGCTAAGCCATTCTGAACAGCTGGCCAACACAATGGTTGAGCAAGTTACATTTATCAGCAGAGCCTCTAATTTCCTATGGGCAGCTGCCTAGCAAGCAGCCGATGCCATCTACCTGTCCTGCGGCTGCTTGAGCTTCCTGATGTGGTTGTCCAGTGTCTGGCCCCCTGGCACAGCTAGGCAAGTTCAGGAGGAGCTGCCCGACCTTATGACTGAGCGCAGCCTCATGAGCCCTCTCCTTCCCGAAGCTCTTTGTGTTTTGATAAGTCTTAAATGCTTTAGTCCAAGGAATGAACACCATGAAAATCCACATATTTTGTCACACACACACACATACATACACCCCGCCCCCGCCAGGAACTGGAGTTTGGTGAGGCAAGGAGTGAGGAGGCATTTCTCAAACCTTTAGCCTCACACGTAGTGGGCAGCTGGTGCTCACTGTGTTCACCCAGGACAGCCCTACTTCTTTGCCCATGAGTGAGCTCCTTCCTTTAAACCCATGGGTATAACTTTGCCCCCTGCCAACTCCCTTGATACATTTCTAAACTGTTTCATTTCTAACTTCACAATATCACGTGGCTCAATAAGACAAACTAAGTGGGTTTCTAGTTTTCTGGGCCTGTGTATACTAAGAAAATGGGACGATTTATCTCTAGCATTTGAAAACCGACTGTATACAGACAACTAATAGCGAACACTGTCCGTACTCTTTGGCACTGTTCTACATACATCTCCTTGATCGATTTACCCTGCCAGTAACTCCGAGAGGCAGGTACTATTCTCATCCCCATTTTACAGATGAGGAAATTGAGGAACAGAGAGCTTAAGCAACTTGCCCATGGCTACACAGCCAGGCAACAGAGGAGGAGGAATACCAACCCAGGCAGTCTAGCTCCAGCATCCATGAATCTAACTAACAGGTGCTGCCTGCCTCACATGCCGGACTGGCTGCTGGAGAAAGACACCAAATGCACAACCCAAAACAGAAAAGCCCTTCTAATTGGGAGGCCCAAAGTACACTCACTCTACACCAGAGTCCTGAGACTAAGTTGTACACAGAAGGTGCATTTGATTTAGACCCCATCACGTCACCCCAGATAACGTGGCTATCTCTCTAATGACAAAGTCAAGGGGGAATTCTTCAAACATGTCACACCTTACAAATCTCATGTGTTGATCAGATCCAGATGCTTGAAGTAGCCACAGGTGTGTTTTGTGGGTGTGCACAGGGCTGCCTGAGTGGTTTGGGGCATTCCCCCTCCATGCTTCGCTCGCACGTGACTCAGGCTGACTTGACCGTGTGGATGCATCTGTCTCTCCTACCCAGCATTCAGTGTGTATGCCCCCCTGGTGACATGGGCTCATTTGCTCTTTCAGGACCTACCTGACTTGGAAGATGTTGATACAGGCGAATCTTTGGAAGACCAGGACAAGGTTAAAACAGAGGTTTCCCCCAATCAGCATCATTCCATTTTCATTTCGGGTCCTGTCATTTACGAAGTATATCCCCTTAATTGGAGCTCTTTGTGCTCAAAGCATTGTGTACCCCATTTTCACCTTTCAAAAGGAAATGCAGCCATTGGCTGTGGCTCATTTCTTTACGGTTCTATGCCTAACCATGGGGGTTTTCTTGAAAACATTTTATTACTAATTTTTAGTAACAAGAACTCATGTAATTACCTGACATTTTCCTGTCCTTCTGGTGTATTTCTATGTCCACCTTATACATGTCTGGACTACAGTAACCATAGAGAGGGGAGGAAAGGGGAAGAGGGAAGGAGTGTATGAGGCACGTGAGATCTCCTGATCTGACCTGACCCTCCTCCCTCCAGCTTACTGAGAACCTGTGTGTGCAGACCCAGGCCCCATGGGAGGGGAAAGGGTAAGACGTGATCTGTGCAGGACCTCATCATCGAGGAAGGAACAGACAGACCACAGTTCCCATGGGACCTGCCCTCCAAGGGGGCTAAGTCCAGGTGTGGGGTTAGGTGTACGCCAGAGGCCAAGGCTCAGAGATGAGCCCATTTGGTGCACCGGGAGAGTGCAGGTGTAGCCAGAACAAAGCGGGCAGCGTGCAGACCCAGCAGAGGGTGAGAAAGGAATGTGGACAGGGTACCACGACTTTGGGGCTCAGAAATGGCTGGCTAAGGGAGTCCATCCCGAGGCCCAAGTTTCCCAGGGGGCAGTGCTCTGCTCCCTTGGCCCTTTCTTGCATGTGGAAATCGAATATTCTGTGCTGGTTAAAAGTAAAAGTATCACTGTGCATTTTAGAGTGACTACTGTGAAAGCAGAAATGTTTGAATAGTTATTTTTTTAAACAGAAGATGAGCTTCCCCAAGATTACGATCATCTCAAGCTTGAGTGACAACAGTGACCCTGAACGGGACTACACCTCACTCCCGGTGCTGGACAACACATCCACACACGCGCTCTCAAACATATTCGCCATCTCCAAGGACAGCTCCAGAAAGGCTGAGACGCCCTTTACACACATTTTTAAAGCAGCAGCAGAGAGGGACCTGGAGACCCAAAGTAGGGATCCCAAGTCCCCACACCTGCTGATTGAGGAGCTCAACAGTGACGAGCCTTTGGGCCAACCACCGACACCCCCAACCTGCAGAAGGGACACTGGACCACCGCCTTCCAGTGAGGACGGGTGTGGCGACCTACTTTTGGCGTCTCCTCCAGGTAATGCCACCCCACTCAAAGCACAGGGGCCAAAGGCTTTGACAGTGGGGAGATGAACTGTCAACCACGCAACCCTGCAGGAGAGCCAACTGGGCCCTTCCCAAACAATCCCACGTTCGGAGAGGGTCCCTCACGACTGCACACGGAGGTGGCTGTGATCATGACCCTAACTTTATGCCTCTTTGAAGCTGCCGCTTTCCGGTTGCTGGCCTGAGCGGAGAAGCCGCCGAGCCAACTTATTTCCGAGCGGGTGGCACCTGGGCTCCTTAGGGCCGTGCAGGTCTTTGTGATCTTGTTCCGCAGGTGTAGGCGGGGTGGGGGAGCCTGTATTTTCACCCCTTTCCTCACAGTCCCAATCCTCAGCCTTTCCATACCAAGGCTTCTAAGGGAGGGAAGGGGCTGGAGACACCACAGCTGGGAATGTGGGCCCCTCCACAGTGAAGCCCAGAATCGGGTGCCATGACGTGTCAGACAGGGAAGGGAGGGTCACCAGGCAGGGACAGTGTCCAGAGCAGCTGGCAGGGTGGGACAAATGAAGCCACAATGTGACACGTCAGCCTGACCTGGTGGCGGGGCCGGAGCTGTGACCAGGGAGATGCACTTGCGGGGGGCGCTGGCTAGTGTGTACTGAGCACAAGCAAACTGGCGGGTATTTGTTCAGCAACTGTCTCGGGGACACAAGACTCTCTGCTGAACCCTAGATATAATTCCTGCTCCTACTCGACACCCTTCAGCAGCCACGCCCCTCTCAACACCAGCTTGTGTGGCTGACTCAAGGCCTGCAGGCGGGGAGAAATGAGGGCTGACCACACCTCCCAAGAACACCGAGTCGCCTTCTTTCCCTCCAGGTAAGAGCACCGAGGATGAAGAGCGCTCTGAGACAGAGCCCGAGGAGCATGCAGTGCCCGAGGCGGGAGACGAGGAAGACATTGAATTTGGCTTGGACTGAACCCCGAGGCGGCCCCTCTGCGCTTGGACTAACGGAGTCAGTGGCTGGGTGCAGGTCACCCCCTGGCTGGGCTCCCCTTCCTTCTTGCAACTCCCGAGACGTGGACCGGTCACACAACCCTCCTGTGTTCTCAGACCTGCAGGTGTCGGGCAGCACTGTGATCCTATTCCCAAAGCATAACCCACTGCCCTGGTTATTTGTGGCATCAATTGTATACCCACCAATGTCTCTTCTGAACACGATAAACACTTAGTATTCATGTGAGAGAACATGCTCTCATTAATATCTGCACAAGTCACATGTGAGCCGTTTCATCAGGTACCCTGAGATAAGACCATTCCTCTCTGCACGTGTGATTAGAAATCCAGGCCCCATCCGGGGTCCTGGGAAATTTCAAGTGGGTGGTCTCCTCACAAGAGAGCAGAATCTTCCACCAGCTACAGAACTTTAGGAAGTGAACTTGATGCATAGATAGCAAAAGCAGCGTAAGTGAACACCTCCCAGTCCTAGAAACCTTGTCGTTCAAACCATGCTCAGGTGACAAGTTTATTCATCCCTAAAGGTGGGTCCAAAGCATCTCCCTCTACAAAACACCAGACTGTGGTAGAAATGGCTTCACACACACTAGCCCACAGCAGCTGCTGATGCCCCCCGACCACCACCAGGCACAGCAGCTCCTCAGGGCCTCGTTTCTCTGTCACTGACCACAGTGAGGAGCTGGTGGTGTTTCCGTCACCAGGGGACACAGCTTGCATGTGGCACCCACGGCCTGACCGGAGCCCCCACTTCCAGCACAGCTGCCTCCTGGAGGGCTCCTGATGACGGACCTTCAGGACAGGACCGCTGGGGCCTTGTCAGTGTGCCTCTGGGAGTGTCTTCAGGCAAGAGAAAAACTACAGGAGAAACTATTTTATTGTTCCTGTTCCTCCAACTTGGCTCCAAATCATCTTTGGATGCCCCTGTCTCAGCGGCCTTCAGGAAACAGAGGTCTGGACCTGAGACTGTTCCCGCCTCAGTCCCTGTTTGTCCCAGAAGGCACAGCTGGTCCAGGACCAAGGGCTTCGCAGAGGAGGGGGAGCAGCTCCCCTGGGTTCCTCAGAAGCCCATGCGGGGCTTCTTCCGGTGTGGCTGAGAGCCGGAGAGGCCAGGTGCCTGCTGCCTGGAGGGGGTGGCCCGGCCGCTGGAGGTCTGGGACAAGGGCACACTGGTACCTGCTGGGGTGTCCCTGTGGGGTGGCAGTTCAGCTGTGCAGTCCCAGAGGGTCCGCTGCCTGGAGGGGGTGGCCTGGATGCTGGAGGCCTGGGAAGGGGGTGCAGAAGCATCTTCTAGGGTGTTCCCTTGAAGCGGTAGCTTGGCCATATAGTCCCGGAGGGTCTGCTGCCGCTCTGAGGGGATGCCCCGGGCCCACAGGTCCTGGGTCAACTCCTGGGAGGGCAAGATCACTGAGGGCTGAGGCCTGGACACAGGGGAGGTCCGGTCTGGGCTGTGAGGGGGACTGGTGGCATCTGAGAAGTCCAGGCGGCCGCTGAGTGAGGAGAAGGTACTGGATAGCTGCATCCGCCGCTTGTGCCGCTTGCGCCGTTTCCCGGACCAGGAGGTCCTGTCCTGCTGCCGCTCCCACCAGGCAGCCGCCGGGCCTTCCCAAGCTGCCTCCAACCGCTCGCTGAGCTCATCCATGGGGCCCGGCTCGGGGCCCGGGGGTGGCTCTGCTGTGGGCAGCGAGCCCAGGTCCCTCTGCTGCAGGAGGCGCCCTTTGGCCATGGCTGCCCGGAGACCCTCTGGCACTTTCCCCTCGACCTTCTGCTGCTCCTTGAAGCCCAGCAGACGGCGGTAGGAAAAGGTGGGCGCGACCCACACAGGAGGAGCCAGCGGCACCTCCAGCAGGGCCTTCAGCCAGCGGCGGCAGCAAGCAGTGGCCTGGGGGCTCCAGGAAGCCGTGGGGGCATGGAAGTTAGGCCCGGGGTCATCGGGGGGCCTGGAGTCTTCCTGGAGGTGGAGGCGCTGGTGGAAGACATCTCCAGCCGCTGAGAGTTGGAAGAGCGAAAGGACTGGTGTGGAGGAAGAGGACAGGATGGCAGCGGCCAGACCTGGAGACAGGAATGACAGTGACCCCAAGGCCTGGTGGGGGCACAGCCCCAGACTCACTCCCTCACCCTAGCACACCTATGGTTGGTGCTTGTAGACGTTCCTGCAGCCTCCAATGACTCTTGGGCTCCAGCAGGGGGAATGCAGAGAGGGAGTCGCTCCTGGAAGGGAGAGACTGGGGGGGCCCTGCCAGCCGAGGCGTGGAGGCCCCTTCCGCTGGAAGGAAGACAGACAGCTGAGGTCCTGTCTAGGCTCCAGCCCTGTCCATCTGATGTGCAGCAGCTGCAGCTGCCTGCCCTCACCCAGACCCTCCCCTCTGATGTGCAGCAGCTGCAGCTGCCCTCACCCAGACCCTCCCCTCTGATGTGCAGCAGCTGCAGCTGCCCTCACCCAGCCCCTCCCCTCTGATGTGCTGCAGCTGCCCGCCCTCACCCAGCCCCTTCCCTCTGATGTGCAGCAGCTGCAGCTGCCCTCACCCAGCCCCTCCCCTCTGATGTGCTGCAGCTGCAGCTGCCCTCACCCAGACCCTCCCCTCTGATGTGCTGCAGCTGCCTGCCCTCACCCAGACCCTCCCCTCTGATGTGCAGCAGCTGCAGCTGCCCTCACCCAGACCCTCCCCTCTGATGTGCAGCAGCTGCAGCTGCCCTCACCCAGACCCTCCCCTCTGATGTGCTGCAGCTGCCCGCCCTCACCCAGCCCCTCCCCTCTGATGTGCAGCAGCTGCAGCTGCCCTCACCCAGACCCTCCCCTCTGATGTGCTGCAGCTGCCTGCCCTCACCCAGACCCTCCCCTCTGATGTGCAGCAGCTGCAGCTGCCCTCACCCAGACCCTCCCCTCTGATGCGCAGCAGCTGCAGCTGCCCGCCCTCACCCAGCCCCTTCCCTCTGATGTGCAGCAGCTGCAGCTGCCCGCCCTCGCCCAGCCCCTCACCTGTGATGTGCAGCAGCTGCAGCTGCCCACCCTGGCCTCCAAGCAGCAGCGGCCTCGGGCAGCCGGGGTGGGGTGGAGGCAGCATCCGGGCCAGCAGAGGAGCAGATGGGAGCCCGTGGTCCCATTTCAGCATGGGCACCAAAGGAAGGCGTTCATCTACCAAGTAGAGTGAGAACTGGGGGCCCAAGTAGAAATAAGACAGAAGGGGGATGTGACTGAGACAGGGAAGGTCTGACGAGGTGTGTCTCTCTGGATGGCCCCATGTGGCTCTCAAAAGGAGTGCAAACCCCCAAGTGGTCATGCACTCAGTGAATGGCCCTGACCACCTCTCCACCTTCATATGCCCAGCCCCACACAAAAGGCGCTTCCTGAGTGGGCAGCACCACCTTTCATCCTGATGGCCACAACTGGGAGACGGCCTCTCAGGAGACTACGGAGGAGTCTTGTCACACAGAAACCCACCTGGCTTTCACCCAGCCTTCTGACCCACCAGACCCTGGAATCTATGCTTGAGACACACCTACTATACCCTGAGGGGTGGCACGATGTGGGGGCAGACCCTCAGACCTCCTCCCCTTTCCTGAGCACACGGGGAACTCCGCAAAGCCTGCTCCCCCGCCCCATGCCTCTCCCCTCACCTGGCCCATCTACACTGGCACCTTAAAGCCCTGCTCAGATGTGGCCGTCAGGACAGTCAGCATGCTTCAGCCACAGACTCATCAGGACTTTGTGATTCTGATTTCACCTGCAGTTCCTGTCCCAGGACCCTCTCTAGTAACCGGCTGAGACGGTGCACAAGGAACAGGAGGGGAAGCTGTCACTCACCTGGGTGCAGATGAGATGGAGAGTGGGCTGCAGAGAATCAGGGCCGCATCCCCCCAGGTACTGGGTTAGCAGGACACGTTCCCCTTTCTGGCACGATGCTTCTGCACCCGCACGGAAAAGCAGCAGACCACAGCCTGGTGGGCCCTGAGGGAGAAAGCCAGGTCAGCCCTCCCAGTCTGAGGTTTGGGGTACCATCAGTCTGTTGGATTCCCCAGCCCTGCTGCTTTTCATGCCCTGGGGGAGGTCCCGTATGCCAGCTCCCACCCCATGTATCTGCTCTGTCCCACAGAGCCTTGGACAATCCCCCACCCCTCACCTGAGTGTCGATAATTTTCACTCCAGTGTGGTCACCCACAGTCAGAACCCGAGGGTGAGCGGTGAAGTCTGCCCAACGCCAAGGAGAGGGATCCCGAAACACAAGGGTCTCAGGATCCTTGTAGATTTGCCGAAGCCTTGGGGAGACAGACCGTCATGGGTGGGGGATGAGCTTAAGGTGGAAGGCGGGGGGTGGGGGGTGAATGCAGAGCAACCTGGCCATGGGTCCAGGACACGTGTGTGAAGTATGGGCCACAGTTCAGGGGGAGCCGTTTGCGGGGTGAAGTTTTGGGGGGAAAGGGGCATTACCCGTCCTGGGGTGTCCACAGGCAGATGGCTCCTGAACGGCTGCAGACAACCAGCTCCCCGGGCAGGTGAGGGCTGCAGAGCATAAGTGTGATTACTGTTGGGCCACCCCCTTATCCCATGCCCATCTCCTTGCCAACCAGCCCGATTCAGCCCCCTTACCTGAGGTTGATCCCTGTGGCCCCCTTCTCAACCTGCAGCACCTGGAGAGGGGCTGGCCACCCCTGCTTACTGACCTTCCACAGGGCACAGTGGTAGTCAGACCGAACAGCCAGCAGAGCTGAGGAGGGGAAGGAGAGGGTCAGGGTCAGGGTCAGGCAGCAGGTCATCAGCAAGGGAGGGAAGCATCTAAGGATCTTACATTGTCCTTGCACGGTACAGGTCACCACCTGCCGGACAGGTCCCCGGAGCTGGATGTGGCCAGGGTTCCCAAGGATCCGAGGGTCACCTTCTGGGGTCAGACGGACCTCTTGGAAATCTGGGCCTCTCGTTAAGGATAAGTGCACGGACTCTGGTCACTACAAGGACCCCCAACTTCCTGCCCTTCCCCTGGACCATGCCAAGAGCACCTCCTCCAACAGAGGGAGCTGGCTGGGATCCTGCCCAATGAGAAAGGATACAGAGCCTGTCCAAGGCACCACCTGCAGGGTAGACCAGCTGCCTGACCCGGGGTGTCCTTCCAGGTAGCCAGGCCAGTGCACCTCCAGTGAAAGCATCGTCCAGGAGCAGCTGCTCCCACCGCATGGCTAGCTCCTCATGAAGCAGCTCTCCCAGAAGGTTCGACACTGACTTGCCCAGGATCGGGTCCCCAAGGATGGAGAACCGGCGCTGTCGGTGGCTGAAATAAGCCCAGGGACACCTAGGGACAAGATGGCAGAAGGATCAGGCTGCAGCAGTGATGAAGAGATAGTCTAGGTACCATCTCCAAAGAGGCCAGGTGCAGTAGACCCATTTTTATTCTACCCAGAATTTCTTCCTGTACGAACCACCCACCCTATTCCCAGGCCCGAGTCACATAACCCGGACCCGGCCACTCAAGTACTCCATCGCCCTGGCCACAGTGATTGGCTCACAGATGGATGTGGCACCCAAACCAACCACCCTTCCTACAATGTCTGATGGTGCCTCAGGGAAAGTCACTGGCTCTCTCCTTGGAGTCATGAGCAGTCTTGCTGCACCTGGAAACTGCCTAGGATTTACGCCAGGCAGAGGCAAGTGGATGAGAAAAGAGAGACAGAGCCCTCTTTCAAACACTAAAGCCTTGGATGCAGCCATGCCTACAGCCCACACATTGAAACTCCCCTGTGCCCTTAGGCTGGTGGACTTGGGATGACTGCCTGGGGTGGGGAGCAACTGTGATGGAAACCTGGATCCATCCCTGTCTGGTTCCTTCCACATCCCCACCACCAGCTAGGTCTACCCACCCCATCCTTCCTCACTAGCCACTTGCCCCCAGGGCTGGTGTCCGCCGAGGTCCTCCAGTATCTTCTTCACACTGACCACCGTCCTCTTCTTAGAGCGGCTCTGCATGGAAAGGCCTGGTCAAGCTTGCACAGCCTAGGGCTCACCTGATGGGAGGTGTGGAACGGGAGCCCCACTGCTGGCTGACCAGGGTGACTCACCCTTGCTCCCTCCAGTTTGAAATTCTCCAGCATCAGCTTCCCCAGGGACGCAAAGGCTATGTCCCCATGGTCCCACAGGAACCGGCTGAACTGTGGGAGGGGGGACAGCAGGTAATTAAGCACAGCCCCAGCCACACGGCACTGCCCGCTGAGGGGCCACTCACCTGTTCAGTAACATCCAGCACAGCTTGGGGCTGTCTCCGGAACTTGGAAGCTCCCCGGAAAAGCAGGTCCCGGGCAGTCAGGCCAGGGTCCCAGGGATCTGAGAAGAGTGAGGTTGGGAAAGGGGTCTGTCCCAGGGACTGGGAAGGGCCCAGAAGAGGGGCCATGTGTCCCAGGTGACTGGAGGTACCCAAGGAGGTGGAGGGCATTAGCAGGGAGAGGGAAGGCCTCAGGGAGGAGGGAGGGGTAGAGGACAGAAGCAACAGGGGAGCAGCTAGAGAGGGGGCCCCCAGGGACCAAAACCCTTACCAGGATCAGGAGGCAGCAAAGGAAGGGGCCCAGGGGTGTCTGGCTCCCAGAGCAGGCCCTTGGCCAAGTGTGGCACCCCATTCTGTGGAAACACAACCATGATGACAACGTAACAGTGAGCACACTCCCAGGACAGGCACCGTGGCCGGCACTTGTCTTTTATTCACGCGTTCAAGCCTCACAAGGAGCCTGCCAAGGTGGTACAACGATCATCATCACTTTACTGATGAGGAAATGGAGGCACAGGGAGGCTGTCGTTGTCCCTGGTGACAGCCACTAAACAGAAGGACTGGGTGTGACCCCACAAAGCCTGACTCCAGTCTGTGCTTTGACCTCCAAGCTGCACTGGCTCGCAAAGGAGCCTTCTGCACCATTACTGGCTGACCTGAATCCTACCTGTTTCTCATTTCCACTCAGGACATCTCATGGTCACTTACTCGGGACACCCACAGGCCACTCCACTCCCTACTGCAGAGCTGGGGCTGGGATGGCTCAGCTCACACACAGGGGATGGAAGAGTTGGCAAGCCAGGCTCCTGCAGGGGCTTGATCTGACTTCAGCCCTTCCTTGTCAAGGAAGCCCCCCTGTTCCCCTCCCTAGCCCCACCATCTCTTCATTTTCTCATCTACAGTACTTGTCTCTGCCTGGAATAACCCTCTGTGAACCTGTCTCCAAGCAGCAGCCAGATGGCTTAGGCGGCCAGGGGAAGAGCTGCTGTCCTTCCTGTCCCAGAAGGTCTCCCCACCTCATCCCCACTGTACTGCTTCAGCACACTTTTGGTTTCACTCAAAGACATTATCACACTTCGCAATGATTGTGTCCTCTGGACTGTTCACCTGTCTATTCTCATTCAGTCTAACTCTAAGTTCCACAGGGGCAGGGACAGTATCTGACTTATTCGTGTTGGATTCCCAAGGCCCAGTGAGGTACCTGGCACATCGTAGGGGCTGTTCAATGAGTATTTGTTGAAGAAACAGAGGAAGGAAAGTCTGGGGCAAGAGGTAGGAAAGAGCAAGCCAACAGCTCCCGTCCAGTAAATCCTCTGCGGAAGGTAGGTCGTCCCATGGACCCCAGAGGAGGAGATTCTGGTTCAGCTGTCTTAGCAGACACAGCACTCTGTACTCCTGTCAACGTGTAAATGCTAGAAAACGAGCCAAGTGAAGGTACCCACCCCGGAGCTGCCAGGGCCCTCCTCGCCATCCTCACCTCAGAGTGCTGGGGCAGGGACTCCGGCAGGGACTCCGGCAGCGTCAGGGCATCTCTCCAGCTGCACATGAAGGACATGTCAGGGGCATCGCTCAGGCCGAGGGGGCCAGTCACAAACAAGGTAGGGCGAAGGGAGTTGGGGAAGTCCATCCTGGAAAATAAGAACCACACGTCACACTTGCCTTCTCAGAGGCCTAAATCTGACCAACAACCTCCAGGGTTCCTGGGAGAGTGAAAAGCGCCCTCAGAGGAGTAGAGTTTCTTTGGGGAAACAGTTAATAAAGAACAAATGAGGCCCTGGCCGGTTTGGCTCAGTGGTTGGAGCATTGGCCCGCGGACCAGAGAGTCCCGGGTTCAGTTCCCACTAAGGGCATGTACTTCGGTTGCAGTTTGTCCCTGGCCCCGGTTGGGTCGTGTGGGTGGCAACCAGTTGATGTGTCTCTCTCACGTGGATGTTCCTCTCTCTCTCTCCCTCCCGCTCTATCTGAAGATAAATGCAAAAATGTCCTCAAGTGAGGATAAAAAAAACAAAAGGAACAAATGAGTATGTAGCCTGCTGCCAGATAGTAAGTGCTATACTAAAAGCAACTAACCAACCATGAAGGAGCGGATGAAGATGGACTGAGGGTGTGGTTTTAGCAATAGTAGCTAGGGAAAGCCTGGTTGAGGAGGTGGCATTTGACACAGCCTGAACCTAATTAGGGAGAGAACCACAGACAACCAGGAAGAGTGTTCCTGGCAGAATGAACAGCAAGTGCAAAAGTCCTGGGGCAGGGAGTGTTTGAGAAACAATGAGGAGGCCACAGAATAAAAAGGAGGAGAATAGTTGGGGATAAAGTCAGACAGGTGGCGAAGGGTCAGCTTCTATCATTATAAGTATTATAATTACACATTTGTAGGCTACACACGCCCTACACTCCAGGCTACATCCTCAATACTAACTCAAGTTCTCCAAAGCCAGGGACTGAGTCTTACTTGTCTGTCAAGTACAGTACCTTCCAGAAAAGGCACTATGTGTTGAATAAAAATAAATTTAGTGAAAGGGTTTTGCTAAATACAAAGTGCTCTAGAAGTATAAGTAGCCACACCATCCCTCTTATTTTATCAACAGCAAAAACAATAGCAGTGCTCACTTACTGAGAGCAAACATTTGCCAGACACAGTACTACATGTTTTATTCTTCTATTTTCCCTATTTTGGAGTTCAGGAAGCAGCCACTTGCCCAAGACCAACAGCTTGACCCCCCATCCAACTCAAAGTCCAAGTTCTGCACCACTGCTCTCCGGTGCATCCAAAAGCAAACACTAGCATTAGGGTCTCAGTAAGCAGAGAAATTTTCCCTTGGAACCGCCACTGCATTTTAAGAATTTATTGTCAGCTCCATGCATTCACGTTCTCTCATGACCATGCAAAATACCTGTCATACAGTAAATGCCAGCAAATACTTGTCAAATGAATGAATATGTTTCTCCATCACGTCAGCCTCATTCTAATTGTGGCTTACATGTACAGCCTTATCTCTTCCGCTAGACTGTGAGCTCTCTGAGGGCCAGGACTATATCTGATTCATTCCTGAGCTCCTGGTGTCTGGCTGCTGCTGCCCCTCTCTTTTCCATAACCAGAGTGGACAGTGGCAGGAATCAAAGAGGTGCTGAGTGAGCCCCTGTGGAAAAACACTGGCTTCCTTAGTACTGACTACACCGATCGCAAGTTAAGGAGCAACCAAGTCTCCCCAAAGTGGCTGCATCCCCGAGAAACCAGCACGTCTCTTGTTCCTGGGGTCCAATACCATCGACCTCCTTGAGGTTCTTCCTCACCAGAATTCAACACAGGGCCTCTGCACACTATTTCTGTTTCGAATGAGTGCCAGCGCCCTTCCTACCCACCCACAAAACCTTACTCATCCTTCAGATTTCAAGTCAGGGAGCCTCTCCCCCCTTGCCCCAACCCTATCCTCCCACAACACCCCACAAGCTTCCTCCGGAACACCATCGCAATGTGTACCTACATTTTTTTTTTTAAATCCTCACCCGAGGACATTTTTCCATTTTTGTTCAGATAGAGTAGAAGGGAGAGAGGGACAGCGAAACATCAACATGAAAGGGATACATGGAGTGGCTGCCTCCTGCAGACCCCAACCAGGGTCGGGGATGAACCGCAGCAGAGGCACGTGCCATTAGCTGACGCTCTAACCGCTGAACCACACCGGCCAGGGTTGTACCTACATATTTAAAGACTGAGCTGTTTGATTAAAAGCTGCTCTAGCCCTGGCCGGTGTGGCTCAGCGGTTAGAGCGTCAGCCCGCGGACCAAAGAGTTGCGGGCTCCATTCCAAACGTACCTCGGATCTCGGTTGCGGTTCGTCCCAGGTCCTGGTCGGGCTCCCGCGGGAGGCAGCAATCGATGTGTCCTTCTCACATCGGTGTTTCTCTCTCTCTCCCCCTCCCTTCCACGCTATCTGAACATAAATAGAAAAGAAAAACATCCTCGGATGAGGATTTAAAGAACATGAAGCTGCTCTAAGAGCCCCCGCGGGAAAGGGACTTTATCCGCAGTGCCTTGGTATGTGAAGCTTGGTAACAATCAGTACAAGTAAGCTGAAGGAACAAACCCAGGAAGAAATGAACGCGAGGAGAAAGCAACTCCACGGCGTCAAACAAACCCAGCAGTCAGAGAGCGCAGGTGAAGCCTACGACCACAGAGAAGCCCCCAGACCAGGCGGCCTCGCCTTCCCAACCTCACCCGTGGCCCTCCAGGTCCTTCACACCGCCAAGGCTGCGTGACTGCACGCGGGACCCGGCAAAAGTGAGCCTGTCGCGGGGATGGGTGAGGGGGGATGGGTGGGGGGGCCGGAGGGTCCCTCCCCTCGTACCCCTACTCCGCCACGCCCCCCCCAGCTCGCCCCCCCCCCACTCCTCCAAGTCTAGAGGACTCTCACCGAGCTCTGCATACCCGGGGCTGCTGCCACGCGTTACATTGGTAGGATCCTCACCATCCCTCAAGCTAGAGGCTAACAACCCACTTCTCAGATGCTGGGTGACTCGCCCCAAAGCCGCACAGCCTGGGGCCGGTGGTCCCGCGCAGAGGGCCGACGGAGCCCGACTTCTGGTCCCTCTCCCGGCCGCCCCCGCCGCGCGCGCACTCACGTGGCTCAGACCTCGCCGTGCTCGTCTGGGACACGGACTTCCACGTGACGCTCGCCCGACCCTCGTGACACGAAGGAGCCCCCAAACAGCACTCCAGCTCCGGCCACCCTCGCAGGATGCGCTCTACAGCACCAATGAACGGTCTTCCGGGCTGGGACGGAAGAGCTCCCTTCCAGGCAGAAAGTCCCGCCTCCCAGCCTGGCCTCACGGGCGCTCTAGAGCGCCACCTCCCTGGTGGAGGGGGAATGGCAGCGCAGGCGGTGCCGTGGGCAGTAGAAATAGAAAGTTCCAATAGTGAAGGCCACGTGGAGGGGAGTTCTAATTTCACCTCTGCTTAACTGACTTCCTTTTTCGCAGGTTTCTTGTAAGTATTAAAGTAATTCACTCAAAAAAACACTTACTGAGCACCTACTATGAGCTGGGCACTGCATTACTCAGGAGGAATCAATGATTGTCCTTAAACCCTATGAAACAGGCTTTATAAGTAGGGGTACAGGTACTCCTGGGAGTCATTTGGAGAGTGTTTTTCATAAATGGAATAAGCTCAGTCTGCATCTCCATGGTTTGGGTGAAAATACATTGGAAGGATATTTAAACTTGAGACTGAAAACTTTGGGATAGTTTTTCAAAATTTTACAGGTATGTATGCAAAAAAAATTGAAGACCATTTTTATGAGTTTCCTTTTGGTGTTGTAACAAATTACCACAAATTTAGTGGCTTAAACCAATACAATATAACATAGTTCTGGAGGTCAGAAGCCTGAAATGGGTCTCACTGGGCTAAAATCAAGGTGTCAGCAGGGTTGTGTTCCTGGGGGCTCCAGGGTAGAATCAGGTTTTTTGCTGTTTTATTTGGTTTGGTTTTTGCCTTTTCCAGCTTCTGAAAGCTGCCTGCAGTATTCCTTGGTTCATGGCCACCATCCATCTTCAAAGCCAGCAGTGAATGGCCAGTTGAGGATTTCTCATGATGCTATCTCTGGTTCTGACTCTTCTGTCTCCCTCTTCCTCATTTAACACTAGTGATTACATTGGATCTACCCAGATAATCCAGGCTAATTTCCTTATCTTAAGATCAGCTGATTAGAAACCTTAATTCTATTTGCAATTCCCCCTTGACCTATAATATATTTACAGGCTGTGGGAATCAGATCCTGGACACCTTTGAGGTACCATTATTTGGCTTATCATTTTTTTTAATGTTTTTTATTGATTTGAGAGAAAGAGGAAGGGAGAGGGAGAGAGACAGAAACATTGATGAGAGAGAAACATCAACATTGATCAGCTACCTCCTGCACGCTCACTGCTAGGGGCTCACTGCTGGGGATCGAGAGCCAGCATATGCTCTGACCAGGAATTGAACCAGCAACCTCTTGGTTCATGGGTCGATGGTCAACCACTAAGCAACACCAGCTGCGCTGGCTTACCATTCTTATGAGACAATCATCCAGCTTCTGCACTGGGAGGCTAAGTCCATTTCTTCCTTCCCTCCTTCTTTCCTTTCTCTAAACAAGCTGTTAGGTTTCTTTTGTTACTTACATATATTTAACATGCAGTAAAGTGCGCAAGTTTTAAGTGTCTAGCTCATTGAGTTTTTACGTACATTATCAACCCACATAACCACTACCCAGCTCAAGACAGAGAGCATTTCCATTACTACAGAAAATTCCCTGATGCCATTTCCCAGTGAATATCCTCTTCAAGAAGTAACTCAATTCTGACTTTTATCACCATAGATTAATTTTGCCAGTTCAAGAACTTAATATATATACAGTCGTGCAGAAGTTACTCTTTTTAGTCTGGCTTTTTTTCATTCAACATACCTATGAGATTTACCCAAGTTGTGCATATAATGATAGTTTATTTATTTTAATTTTGTATTACTGAGTAATAGTCCATTGTATGAATATATTTACATTTGTTCATGCTACTTCCTGTTGGTGGTGTTTCTGGGTTTGGAAACTGTTCAAATCTCTTTGTGGCTATGGGCAGCCATCATTCCACTTCTGAACACCTGCTCTGCTGCAGTTCTATCTCCTCCCTGAACTACACCCCCAAACCAGAACTGTTCTTCCTGGTGACAATCCTTGAACCATTTAGGAGGTTGAATCGACCCTGCCCCCACCCCTGCTCTCCCCAAGTCATACATTCCTGGTTCCACCAATTATTTCCTGTATGCCCCAGCACCCACACTGCCACAATCCTGGTTAGAATCAATAGACCCAAAGGTAACAATCTGCAGCAACAATGCGATAAGTCTTACAGGCTGTGAACTGAGTTATTGGTCCTGTTTTCCCGTTCACTGGCCCCTATAAGACTCAGTTTAATTTTTGGCAGCCTTCAAGCAACTATGTGTTGCATCATAGCAGGCCAAATGTAAATTGTCTTCATCTCTAATTTCACCTTATTTTTGTTATTTCTCCTTAATCCCTAGTCTCTCATCTTTAAAAAAAATTTTTTTTTTCTTTATTGATTTGAGAGAGAGGAAGGGAAAAGGAAAGAGAGAGATAGAAACATCCATGAGAGAGAACATTGATTGGCTGCCTCCTGCATGCCCCCCACTGGGGATTTGGCCCACAACGTGGGCATGTGCCCTGACGTAGAATCCATCCAACCGGTGACCTCTTGGTGCATGGGTTGATGTTCAACCAGTGAGCCACACCGGCCAGGACCTAGTCCCTCATCTTAAAGGATTACTGTCTGTGGCATTTCTATAAGCCAACTCAAAATCCCCTTTGAAGGAAAAAGGGCAGAGTATCAAATGTTTAATTTTGGCTGGAGGGCACTTCCAGTTGGCTTCAGAAAGGCGTACAGTTTACAGTTTTAAAATGTAGATCCTAAAGATGCTCTAGGATTGCTTCATTTATTTGAAAAGGACCTCCAGGCTCAGCTAGGTGACTCGGGGCTGGGATGGCTTTGGTTTCCGGGCATTTTTGCGCAGGAGCCAGATGGGACGCTGAACTCAGGGCCCCCAGGCCTCCTTCCCTGTCTTCGGTTCCCCAGGACCACCCCAGGGCAGAATGCACTCATACTCTCCCCCACAACCCCTGCCCCGGAAGTGAAATGTTGGCCAGATGACGACTCTATCCAGGCTACGACCCTCCCGGAGACTGGCCTTCCCTTGGGTGGGGAAGCACGTCCTCCCCAGCTCGGCGGGCTCTCATTGGCCAGCAGCAGGGCTCGCTACGCCCGTACGCCGCACCACGTGCTCCCCACGTGGGAGCTGGCTGCTCGTGTAAAAAGGCACGAGCGGCAAAATCGGCCCACTGTCCCCACTGTCCTCACGTCCGGCCATGGCTTCAGCGGCCAGCACGGCACCAGGCACAGATGACGGTGGCCGCAGGAAGCCCCGCCTGGCAGCTTCGCTGCAGATGAGCCCCAGGCGTCCTTCTGCCAGCCGGGGCCAAGACCCCTGGGAGCCTCTGCCTGCCCCCGGCATGGAGGACAATGAGGGGGGTGGGCAGGCCCTGGCCCCCGCGGAGGGGGACGGTGCGCCCTTGGTGGGGGCCGGAGTCGGAGTGCCGGGGACAGCTCAGGCACCGGAAGACTTGGGGGGACAGTTGGGAAGTTCCCCGAGGGTCTCTGTCCCACCTGCAGGGCTCGCTGGGGACTTACCGAAGGTGGCCAGACAGCTAGGCCTGCAGCTCAAAGATCTGCCGCCTGGCCAGGCCGTGGCCTTGCTCACTCAGTACGCGGCCAGTGTGGGAGTCTCCCTGATCTTCCGAGAGGACCAGACAGCAGGTGAGGCCCAGTGGCCTGGGAGGGTGGCGTGTCCCAGGCTAACTCCAGATGAATCAGGGGGGACCTTGAGCTGGGCCTGAGCCAGGGACCTGGGGCAGACGCACCCCACCCACTGCCACTGTGAGCAGCGTTTACTAGGACACCAGCCACACAGGTGTCCTAGTACACCCAGGTCAGGGCAGGGTGAACGTTCTCCCCATCTGAAGCTTATGGAGGTTAAAGGACATGCCTCAGTAACCTAGTCTTTGAGCATGCTTTTTTTGAAGGCCAATTACATGCAGTTACAGTTGCCATTCCAGCACTGGGGATACCTGAGTTAGGGCCAGCCCCTGACTTAAAGACATTATCAAACAGTTTGGTAACGGGAACACTGCACAGAGAGAGAATCAGTACTGTGTCCCTTTCCCTTCCTCAGTGCAGCCCCCTACTCCTGAATCAAACAGAAGCAGAACAATACACCGGGTCCCAAGTTCAGATTACCAACGTTAAGCCAGTGCATTCTTGCTTTCTAAGGAGATAGCAAAAGGGTCATTCCTCAAGCTGTTGGGAACTTTTGTAAAACTAAGGGATCCCAGAATGAACAGCTCAGAAAGAGATAATGTATTAAAAATGGATCTGGGATTTGTTTTAATCAGGTGACATGGAAATGATTGTCATGAAAGAAGAAGTAAATATTCACAGGTCCCTAGAAGTGTGAGGCACAACTCACCACACAGGGTTATGTGGGAAGGGGTCAGGGTGGGTCAGGAGGCAGAAGAGGGAGAGGAAGAGCAGGGCCCAGAGCCTTTATTGGGGTTTTCTCAGGAAGGAAAGGTCAAGGCAATGTAGGTATGCCAAGTAAGCTTAGGATTGAGTAAGGAGGCAGCACATTGAGTAAGTTTAGGAGTTCTAAGGGTGATCCCTGGTTGTCTAGTATCTGGCCCTGGGGTGATTTAGAGTATGAGGAATATTGGCTTGAGCGAGAGTTTGATGGTTGGTGTGTGAGGCCTAGATTGGTTGATTTCTATATCAAAGGTGTGCTTGCAAGTGATATCATTTGCTGTCGCTAGTATTGGTAGCCCTAGAAGGGGTATCGCTGCAGGATCAAGGGTCCAAATGCCAGAGCATCAAGAATACAGAAAATAAGAGAACAGACTCAATACGGATGATAATAGCTAACATTCATGAGTTCTGGATGATGAGCCAGGCACTGTCTGAAGGGCTTCAGGCACCTTAACTCATTGAGTCCTCACAGCTCTTGTTTAAGGGAGGTACAGTACTGTTACCACCATTCTACAGCTGGGGAGACAGGCCAGAGAGGTAGCTGCATGGGGCAGTGTGAACCCAGGAAGTCTTTTTTCAGAGCCTGCGCTGAACCACAGGATTATATTGCTCCTCCTTTCTGTGTTAGGTACCCCGTCCACCATTTACATGTGTAGGCACGGTTTTCAGTCATTTATTTATTTTTATTCTCACCTGAGGACATTTTTCCATTTTTTGTTCAGATAGAGTGGGAGGGAGAGAGGAAGAGAGAGAGAAAAAAACATCGATGTGAAAGGGACACATCGAGTGGCTGCCTCCTGCACAACCCAACCAGGGCCAGGGACAAACTGCAACGGAGGTACATGTCCTTAGCAGAAACCGAACCCGGGTCTCTCTGGACTGCAGGCCAACGCTCTAACCTCTGAGCCAAACCGGCCAGGACTTCAGTCATTTATTTTTATTTTCTATTTTGACAAAATTGCAAAGAAGAGTATACAGGAACTCCCATGAACTCTTCACCCAGATTCTCCAGTTAACATTTGCCATCCTTGCTTGTGTATGTATCTCTCTCTCCTTTTTGTGTATTTATCTATAGATAAATATCCACACTGATTATTTTCTGAACAATCTGAAGGTTAATTTACCCCTTATACAATCTGAAGGTGTATTTTCTGAGAACAAAGATATCAGCTTTATAGCTATATCATCTTTATAGTTCAATGATCATTCTAGAAATTTAACATTGCTATAATACCATTACCTGGTTACCATTCACATTTAAATTTTGCCAGTTGTCCCAATAATGGCTCCCCCAGGCCGCCCCAATCAGCATGAACTATCATATTTACTGTCACACCTCTTTAATCTCCTTTTATCTGAAGCAGTTCCTCAGTCTGTCTTTCTCTTCAGGAAGCTGATGTCTTGGGGGAGTCAGGGCCAGTTGTTTTGTAGAATGTCCTAATGCTGGGGTTTGTCTGTTTTCTCAAGCTATGGATGTGGGCAGTGCACGCACGTGGGCCGTACATCCCACCAGTCCTACAGTGTTAGCTGGGAGGGCCAGACGAGGGCAGCGTCCCGCAGGTGTCTCCACTTTCCCCTTTGTGCTTAAGCAGTCATGGGGGTGCATAGCATCTGGAAATGGTGTGACTCTCCTGTTCCCCATAACATCATCACCCCATTTTTTTTACGATTGTCCCCAGAGTTGGTTACTACTATACTGGCTGCTGTGTGTTGGTTTCTGACACCAGCCTTCCTTCTGCATCTACCAGTTGCATTCTTGGTGTCCATTTATTTATTTATTTATTCATTCATTCATTCATTTATTTTTTGTGGTACGTGCCCCTAGCGGAAACCGAACCCAGGATTCTCTGGTCCGTAGGCTGACACTCAACCGCTGAGCCAAACTGGCCTGGGCTTGGTGCCCTGTTAAAGTAGATGAATCCGAGCGCTGGTGAGCAGTGCTGAGATGGGGGTTCTCCTCTGAAATAGCAGTCCTTTTGGGAAACAGTTTAGCAGCAAGTACCAGCAACTACCATGAACCGAAATAAGTTTATGCCCTTTGACCAAGTGATCCCAGTTCTAGGACTTTCATGTCTCTTGTGTCATAAGTAACACATACAATGATAGTGTTTGGCAGTTGAGACTTTCAAACGTAGATGAGAAATAAAGCCGTGTGTCTGCGGAAAGGCAGCGGGTGCCCTGTGCTCAGGGCCATCATCCTGACAACAGCACGGCCCTGGATTTGGGTCCTGGCACTGCCTGGGCACACTGCCTGCCCTCTGTGTGTCTCTTGTAAAACGGGGTCTTACAGACCTGTTTCAGAGCGGTCTGTGGGGGTTCTCCGAGTGCAATGGTCCCGCACACCAAGGCATGTGCCGTGCCTGGCGCCGGAGTCGGAAGCCTGTCTCCTCATTCCGGCCGCCCTGGGTGTCCCGTTGGGAGGAAGCACAGCTGAGAGCTGATGTGGCCCTCCTAGACAGGGCCCACGAGGGACATGAGGTGCAGGGCCCCACTTCACAACCCCCTCTTCCCCAGGCCCCTGCTTCCCCTTCTCTGTGTACGCGGAGCTGGATGGGGTGGCCTGCCCTGCCGGCATTGCCAACAGCAAGAAGGAGGCCAAGCAGCAGGCAGCCCTTTCTGCCCTCAGCTACATCCAGAGTCAGCTGGAGAGCCCAGGTGAAGGGTCAGGTAACCCAGGCGACTGAGCCCCAGCTAGGGGTGAGGGGCTGAAACCCTGTGCGCATGTGTGGGCAGGGTGAGTTGCTGCAGAGACCATCTGGGCATTAGGACCAGGCCTGGAGGGAGCTGGGGAGGGCGATGTGAACTGATGTTTATCCTGATGTCCTTTGAAGCCTGCCCATCCTGGGGGCAGGGGCTGCTAGAGGGGCCTCCAGGAACTGGTTTCTAGAAGATGACCCCACCCAATAATGGAACCTCATGGCTTCCTGAAGGACATAGGACAGGAGGGCAGACCCCAGCACCCATAGTGACCCCTCCCTTGTCTCTCTTCTAGAGTCCCCAAAGAACCCCAGCAGGCCTCCAGCCAGTGATCTGAGTGTAGGTAGGTAGGCCCCTGTTGACCTAACTCCTGTGGCAAGGGGAGGGGCATGGCCTGTGGTGCCCCCACCTCTGCCCTCTGCCTCATGTGCAGAGAACATCCTGACCCATGAGCAGCGCTGTGCAGCGGTGGTTAGCGCTGGCTTTGACCGCCTGGTGAATGAGACCTCGCCGTACCGGGCCTGTAAGGGGACTGTGGCTGCCGTCATCCTGGAGAGAGGTAGGGGTTGCCCTGCCACTCCCCAACCTCAGAAGGCCCACACGGGTCCCTTGCCTTAGGCCAGGCTGTCCCTGCTTTCTCCCCTTGCAGAGGTCCCGGGTGCCAGGAGCCATACCAAGGAGATCTACGAGCTGGTGGCACTGGGCACAGGCAACAGCAGCTGTGCTGGCTGGCTGGAATTCTCAGGCCGGCAGCTCCATGACTGCCACGGTCTGGTCGTCGCCCGCCGGGCCCTGCTGAGGTGAAGGGTGGGCCGGTGGGCACGCCGTGGCAGCCCTGGTCTGGAGGAGGCATCTCCCAGCTGCTGCTTTCCCTATCTCTCCCAGGTTCTTGTACCGGCAGCTCTTGCTGGCGACACAGGGTGGCCCCAAGGGCAGGGAGCAGTCTGTGCTGACCCCCCAGCCTGGGTCCGGGTTCCCCTTTGCCCTCAAGCCCCAGATCTTCATACACTTCTACATCAGCAACACCCCCAAGGGAGCTGCTCATGACATCTAGTATGTGGGGAGCCCCAGCGGGGTCCCTTGGTGTGATGCATTGGGAAGGGCAGTGTTAGGTGGGGTCAGAAGAGCTGCCCTGGCTCTGATGTCCAATGTCCTGTTTCCCCCTGCCCCCGCCTCTGCAGCCTCCCGCCACGGTGGTCCTCCGAGAGCAGCCTCCTGCATAGCGCCCCCTTCCGCCTGCAGGCCCACATCCGAGGGGAGCTGAAGCCTGTGTGCTACATGTCCCCCACCATCCGGGAAACCCACGTGGGCTGCCTCTCAGCCAGCGACAAGCTGTCGCGCTGGACTGTGCTGGGGCTTGGTGGCGCCCTGTTGGCCCACTTCTTGCCTCCCCTCTATGCCACCAGCCTTGTCCTGGGTGAGGACCGAGGGGCGTGAGGGTGGAAGGTGGGCTCTGGGTGGTCTGTGAAAGAGGGTGGTGACTCAGACCTTGTCTTGTGCCTTCTGCTTCCACAGCCGACCCCTGCCACGACCCCCCTACTCTGAGCAGTGCCATCCACACCCGGCCCAACCTAGATAGGGTCTTGGGGTCATGCCTGCCACCTCCCTACACCCGCACCACATTACATCTGTTTTCGGGCCCCCCTGTGGCTCCTTTGAACCCCACCTCCAACACCTGCCATGACCTGAGCCTCAACTGGAGCCTGGGGGACCCTGATGTCGAGGTGGTGGATGTGACCACCGGGCGTGTGAAAGCCGAGTGAGAAGGGCCTGTGGGTGGGATGAAGAGGCCTGGTGGTGAGGGATCCCCATCTGCCTGTGGGGGGATCAGAGCATGCATCCAGTTAACCGTCTTACAGCAGTGTGACCATACCGGCGTTTCTGTCCCCTGCCCCATGACACCTCCTGAGATTGTCGTGGCCTGAAAGGCGATGGCGTGAGGGGCGCAGTGCAGACCTGCAGGTTCGGTCCTCCTTTCCCTCCTCTGACCTTCCTGCCCTTTCCCCTCCGCCTCCAGTGCTGTCCGCGGGCCTCCCTCCCGCCTCTGCAAGGCAGCCTTTTTCCGGGCCTTCCACCAGGCTGCCCAGGCTCTCGGGAGGTCCCACCTCCTGGCCCTGAAGACCTACGAAGAGGCCAAGGTCAGCTCCTTCCGCCCCTCCTGCCCTCTTGCTCCTGCGCCCCAGCAAGCACTCTCTTCACCCCTCTCCTCTCCTCTCCCCCCCAGGCTGGGCCCTACCAGGAGGCTCGCCAGCAGCTCTCTCTCCTCCTGGAACAGCAGGGCCTGGGGGCTTGGCCCTCGAAGCCATTGGTGGGCAAGTTCAGAAACTGAAACAGACTTCCCGTGCTGAGGTCCCTGAGCTGAGCTGGCCCCCGCTGGAGGAGTGCTGTTTCTGGGGGAGGGGGAGGGATGGCTGGGGGAGAATGGTGGGGGCATGGGGAGAAGTGGGGTTGGAGGGGGGGCCTGCCTGACCTGGTGGAGTGGCGGGGCTGCTGCAGATTTGGGCTTGAATAAAGAAGCTGTTTCTGGTCCTTCCACGTGTTGTTGGCAGTTTGCGGGGAGGGGTAGCCTGGCGTCCTTTTGTTTGTGAAGAGAGAAGCCTATGCTGTGGCTGGCTCCCAGCTCCCGGCTCCCGGCTGGATCCTCCCTCACTGAAGCACTGGGCTGCTGCAGCCATGGCTCCTCCCTGCCTGCCAGCCCGGTGTTCCGGGAGAGGCGAGGCTGTCATGTTGGGTCCGGACTGGGCAGCGGGTGTGGGAACATGCCCTCTTCAGGTGTGATGGAGGCTCCAGCCTCCCTTCCTTTCCCAGGGCTCAACCTGGGACAAGTGGTCGAGAAGAGAGGTGCCTGCTCTTGGGTGCTGCCTCCGGCTGAGCGAGCTCCGTGGGCGTGAGCATCCACGTGGAGGGTGCCAGGGTGCTGTGGGCATTGCGGCCTCCGGTCAGGCCAGGAGGTGGGGCCCTGGCAGACCGCAGCCCCAGTGCCTGCCCTCGAGGTCCTCTGCACTTCTGCAGGTGTACTGGGGTGAATAGTGTGCCCCAAAATTCACGTTTACTTAAAACCTGTAAAAGTGACCTTACTTAGAAGTAAGGGTTTTACAGATGTAATCAGTTAAGATGGGGCCATACTGGATTAGAGTGGGCCCTGAATCCAACGGCGGGGACCGCTGGAAGAAGACACGCAGACACACGGATAGCCATGTTAAGAGGGAGGCAGGGATGGCGGTGATGCTGCCAAAGCCAAGGACTGCCCGGAGACACACGGAGCTGGGACCTCAGCATGGGATGGCTTTCCGGTCTCGGAAGCAACCAGCCCGCCCGCACCTTGGCTTCAGACTTGTGGCCTCCAGAGCTGTGAGAATAAATGTCTGTCGTCTGACAGCACCCACTTTTTGGTACCTTGGATGGCAGTTCTGGGAAGCTAGGCCTCCCACCGACGCTGCGCCATAGCCGCATTCACAGGCGAGGAAACTCAGGTGAAGTTGGGTAACTTCCAGAGGAGCGCGTGGGGTCAGGCGGGGCTGCGGTTCCCGGGCGGGCGTCCGCTCCGTCCCAGCCCTTCAGTGCCAGTCACTGCTTGGCTGCTGCTGCTGCATCTGCTTCTGTGACCTTGGACTACTCTCAGCCTCTTTTATCAAATGAGAACATGATGATGTGGTTCCTAAAGTTCCCTCCTGGCTTTGACATCCTCACCTCTGCCCTTTTCCTAAGGGCCCCCGGAGATGGGAGGTGCAGAGGGTGCAAAAGTGGCTGGAGGGAGGGCAGGAGAGGGGCAGGAGGTGCAAGCCTGTGTTCAGAAAGGTGCCTGCTCAAGGCCCGAGGGCCTCGGGGAGGGAAGTCGGAACCAGGAGGGAGGGTCTCAGAAGCCAGGGAAGCACTGATTTTGTGTGTGTGAGAAAACACCTAGTTATTTACTGTTAGGTGGTGGTTTCTTTTTAAGCAACTTCTAAGGCCAACTTTGAAGTGATTTTTTTTTTGTGGCTATTTTTTTCAGGGATGGAGAGGATTTTTAAAACACCCAAGCCTATTAGCTCATTTCTTACACATAATTTTCCTCAGGAGATAATGTAAGTTGATTTACTTTTGGTGCTGCATTGGTGACTACAACCAAATCAAGAAATAGAACAGCCATGCAAACTGCAGTTTTATGCAATGAACCTTTTGATGTTCATTAATCATATAATCACTGGGTAAACAAGTTTTTCAAAATGACATAAACTCTGCTGTGTTCTGCCAAGTAAGTACTATTTGTCCCCACATTGCATAAATCTGCCCGTCCAATTCTTCCCTCCTAAGACTGTCCTCATTATAGAATATTCGCTCAGTTCCCTTGACTCAGCTTATTTATTACTGCAGAGTGATGATAAACACTGCTTTTGAAATGGAGAGTTTGTTAATGTCTTGGCCCAGTCCCCTCTGGGTGAAGTTTTACCAACACTTCTTATTTAAACCAGGAGATGTAATCGGCTGGACACACCTCAAGGGCTGCTTCCTCTAGGACGCCTTCGTCATCACCGCCGGTTCCGTTCCCTGCAGCTCTGAGCCCCCTCTCAAGCCTGTGGTCCCTGAACTGTGTGTGGTCTTCACTGCTGAGCAGAACTGGGGACCTAGGAGCCCCACGGGCCCCTCCATCTATCCAAGCCTCGGTTTTCTCATCTAGCTAATGAGAGTGGGTCACAAATGCGTAGCTAGCCCGCAGCGTTATGGACAGATGAGTTGGTACCGGGGTGAGCACTGCTCCTGGCTCTTGACAGCCCTCAGTCAGTGATGGTCATCAGTCCTGCCTCAACAACCAGAGGCAGACCCATTGTCTGTCTGTGTCCTTCCCTCCTGTGGGGTCTCCCACACAGAAGGTGCCTGGCAGGCAAGCATTGAACAGACAAGTAATGATTTATAGGATCTCCTCTTTACAGGAGGGAGTTAGAGGGAGAAAATAGTAACCCTGTTCTAAAATACGGTTTTTAGAAGATGTTTGGAAAATTTCCCTTTTATTGCAGCCCTTTCTTCTCTGCCTTGAAGTCAGTAAGACCTAGAGAACACTTGGTGAGCATCTAGAGAAAGAGGGTCTGTTCTGTAAATTGTCACTCTGCTCCATGGTTCAGTGGTGAAATGGTTTTGAAAACATTGGGTACACCCTGGCTGGGTAGCTCAGTTGGTTAGAGCATTGTCCCCATACACCAAGGTTGTGGTTTCAATCCCTGGTCAGGGCACATGCAAGAATCAACCAATGGATGCATAAATAAGTGGAACAACAAATTGGTGTGTCTCCAAAATAAAAATGAAAAAAAAAAAAAGCCCTGGCCAGTGTGGGTTGGCTGGACATAATCCTGTGCAACAAAATGTCACCAATCTGATTCCCAGTCAGGGCACATGCCTGGATTGCAGGTTCCATCCTGGGTTGGGGTGCATGCAGGAGGCAGCCGATCAATGTTTTGTTCTCACATCGATGTTTCTCTCCCTCTCTCCCTCTCCCCTCCTCTCTCTCTAAAAATCAATTAAAAACAAGACATTGGGTGCACGCTAAGATGCTGTGACAAAGCCACATACTCTGGCTTTCATGAGAATTTATTCTTCACAATAGTCCAGAGGTGATCAATCCTTGGATGACTGTCCACCATCCTCAGCACATGACCCAGAGGTTCCCTACATCTCTCTGCTCACATGTCCATCAGTACACACTTAGTCACACACCACACCCAGCTGCAGCAGTGGCTACCATTTGAGTGGGGTCTATTACTAAAAGGACGTAGGTGAGAATGGTGTTGGCAGTGGTCAGTGGTCTGTCCCACATGGAGCTGGGAAGGACTGATAGGCTCTGCCCCTTGAGGAAGGACCAGGCACTTCAGGGAGCATCACACAGCCAGGATGTGAACACAAGCAGACTCCACACAGGCTGCATGCCCAGTACCACGTTTGGGAGCCCTGCCCTCTGCCCCTGTTGGGCTCTGACCTCACCTCCTCCTGCACTCCATCAGTTCCTCTACTCCAGATGCGGTGTACCTCATGCCATCCTTTGAAGGACCGAACACATTCCTACCTCATGACCTTTGCACCTGCTGTTCCTTCTTGCCCAAAGCATTTACCCCAGAGATGCACATGCCTCGCCCCTTCACCTTTCCAGAATTGACTCAAATGTCGTAACTTAGAAAGGCCTCCCAGGTCACCTTTATCCAATTGCAACCCATCACTCTGGCGATCACACCCCTACCCTCCTTTATTCCTTGTCTGTTTTGTTCCTGCTGAACCACGTGTCTAGCACGATCAAGACTTGTTGGTGAATGGATGAAGAATACATTTGGAAAAAAACATCCTTGACCTCCCAGCCCTTTCCACAGCCTCCTCCGTGCCCAGCGTCCCCTCTACTCCCTGGATTGATCTTGCTGGCCTATCCTAGCACTCTCCAGGGTGAGCCTGGGGTTGGTTCATTTACTTTCTAAAGACCCCAGTCTTTTTAGCTCAGACATAGGAATTAAGTAAATGTGAGTATTGGTTGCATATAAGTAGTTTGATGGGCAGGCCGGCCCCACTTCCTTGTGGACGAGACTGTGTCAGCCTCCCTGCTCACCATTTTGTCCCTGGGACTGACATGGTGCCTGGCACACAGGGGCATTTGGCAAGATGAGGGGGAGGAAGGGGCACTTGCATTTGCTGCCCACCTACTACATGCCAGGCCCTGCACCAAAGGTAGAGATGGGCTGGGGGTAGATGCTGATGACTTTTATTTTATTTTTTTGGTATGTGACCTTAGCAGGAACCGAACCCGGGACTCTCTGTTCCGCAGGCCAACGCTCCAACCGCTGAGCCAAACTGACCAGGGCACTGCTGATGACTTTTAGACATGGTTATAGGACTGAACAATAGTTCTGGATCATCATTAAAAGGAACTATGTCGTTGCCCAGAGTAGGTACCTACAGACGGGACATCACACGTGGATGTTGGCCCTGCTCTGCGTGAGGTGGTCACGGGTTTGCGTGCACGTTTTCCCCATAGAGATTGGCTGTTGCACTTTGGGTACAGATTCACATTCCCAGACAGGCAGATCACCAAGCCAGCCAAGGTGGCTGGAGAGCCAAGCTCCTCACCTTGCCAAGGCTAGCGGCCAGGGGATGCCTGGCCCAAGGACACCTCTGGAAGCTTCTACAGGAAACAAGCACTTTGTGGGGTGCAGGTGTAAGGGTGGACCAACTACGGTGACACACAACCTCCCAGTGTCAGCGGCTTACACAGGAGAAGGTTTTCTCTTGCTTGTACACCCATAGATGCAGGTGCTCAGCATGCAGAAGTCTGGGACACAGCTGCTTCCATCTATGGCTCCAGCTCTCAGGGCAGGG